ATGATCGTCGTGTAGCATGTTCGAAATTGTCACACCAATCATTTTTGCAAGCTGTTTTTTTTTTCTTTTAGCGAACACCTTATAATCTACTTAATATGATTTTTCAAGTTTGTGGTCGTTTGGACAGGCCACCTCGGCCATAATGAATGTCACAACTAATGCAGTTAAAAAGTGATCTTTCCCCTTCTAACCCCGCGTTCCAAAATCTTTGTGACCCGCCCTTGTACTTTTTGAAGATGCGGATAAGTATCAGTTTGAAGTGTTTTCAATATCATTGTTTTACAAAAGATCTCGCCGTTTATGATTCATTTACGATTAGAGTCAGTTTTTTTTTTTTTGTTATTGTAGAAGTATTTGTGTATACCTACTCATCTTTCGCTAAAACCAAGTGTAACAAAATATTCATGGTGACATTAATGCGTCATTGTAATCAAAATAGAAAAGTATATCAAAATTAAGTTTATATCAAGCACATTAGTCATTTCTCTAAGGACATAATTATTTTTTATAATTCGAGCACAAAGAGGGAAATGTTTCATCTGTAATAATTATTTTATTACCCGAGGTAAATTGACGAACATTTTTATTACTTAATTAAAAATAAATTGCACAGCGAGTCTCTCACTAAATCTTAGCAAATTACTTAATTAATATCATAATATTGTATTTAGTTTTTATTCTTATGTTTCTGCAAGTAAGAGAAACAGGTAAAATATTATTTATTATCTATATATCTATGTGTATATATGTAGCCGTGTGGCCCCGGCATAGAATAGGCCACCCCTTCCTTTTCCGTGGATCTTGTAAGAAGCGACTAAGAGGACTTAATGGTCGAGGATTGGGCAGCAGCATCCCTCTTAAAACATCACCATAATCTAACTGCAGTTGCCAATCCGCCTGTCAAGCGTGGCAACGATTGGCGTAACCCCCCAACAGGGTAAGACCTATGCTCAGCAGTGGATAGTTAACGGCTAATACCATCATCATATTTGTAACTAAATTTTGGTAAATAAATACAACGGACTTCTAAATTGAAATTGGACTATTCAAATTTAGAATACATTCAAAACGAAACGGAGGAAGCGCGGCAAGAAATCGGATCCGTTAATGCATTCCTGGTACTATAGATTCAGAGTAACGGTAACGGAATACCTTTACATACTCGTATATCTTAATGGAACTGGCAGCATATTTTATTTTATTAAACAATATTTTTTTCTTTCTTATAAAGTTTAATTAAACGAGACATTACAACAATAAAAAGGGCGTGCAATTTATATAAATACCTCTATTTGTTATTTGGACATTAGTAGAAATTGGGAGGTTTTATTAATACCCTTAATCTATACCCTACAGGAGCAAATAGTCGCGATCTTAGATTTTGAAGTATGTTTTACTAAGTCTATGGTTGTGATATGTGACGATGTCCTCCGTGCGTGTCCCAGCATAGAATGGGCCGCCCCTACCTTTCCCATGGGTGTCGTAAGAGGCAACTAAGCGAGAGCGAGGGATGGGCAGCTGCGTCCCTCTTGAAACATCTCTGAAAAGCCTGCCTGCCAAGCGTGGCAAATACTGGCAAAACTCTCCTTATGAGGATGGTTTGTATCCAGCAGCGGACAGTTAACGGCTGAATAAAAAATGGTTGTGATAGCTGAAAGTTGCATGAAATTTGTGGCTGTCTATCTTTATTTTTGTTATTTTTGACATTTCATTGGTGTTGCTTCTAAGAAAAATCTTTGTATTGTTTTAACAGAGCAATATACGAACTAAAATTTCTATTATAAATTATTCCTTTCTTTTACCACTAGATCGTAAAAGGGGATGTTTGTCGCAAAATAGCGCATTTAACCCATCTCGCGAATAGGGAGCAATCGTAGTAACGTAATATCTGTTTTACGTAATAGATATGGTTATTATTTGACAACGTGTTTTCAAGACTACAGTTTAATATACAATATAATACAATAAAGTCCACAATTACTAAACAATGACTATGGTTTTAAGTAATTTAATACAACATAAAACCAGCTCTGGTGTATTTAAAAGTGCTACCTTACCTAGTGGGTAACCGCGTGACCTTTCCTGGCGTTGTTCAAATAGATACATTAGAAAATATTATGTTAACAACGTGCCTTGGACATGGTAGGTCTACCATTGATAAATTTATAACCATGATAGGTTTACCATAGTGCACACAGGGTTACTATTCTATTTTAACTTTTCTTGTAAATCAGTTGATAATGTTTCAATACAACTCAATGTAAATGTAAACATACATTTGACCGGATCATAAACAATTTGCTGATATCTATATAATGTATCTATGTTGTACCTATATATTTTATCTATATGTTGTATCTATATATTCTATCTATATGTTGTGCAATAAAAAATCTATTCATTAATTGAATATTTTAATTTGTTACTAATTTCATTTAAAGTGTGCTTGTGGTAATATTAACAAAACTTGGTTAATTTTTTTTATGTTTTGAAAGAGACTATAAGTATATAAAAGGATAGTGGCAAATAAGAGAAATTAAGTAAAAAGGTATTTATTAAATGTAGATTTTGAAATAATGTTTCAGGAACAATTTATGTCTATAAGAACAAATCTGTTCTTTTTACTGTCATCGGATGAATGTCGTCATCAGATGTCGATAGGTACACCTGCAATGCAAGAGTAGTTGTTTGTGTTGCCAGCCTTTTAAAAATTATAAAGGATATGTGTATATCCATGATAATAAAATATTTTAACAAATCAAATTTTATTGATTTACAATTAATATCTGTTTAATTTCTTTTTTTATACAATTTCTTAAATAATATTACTAATTATAAATAATCTCCTAAATCAAATTGATACTAAATTTCAAATACTTATATAGGTTGTAAGCAAAATGAATCTCAATAATTTAATTATTATATATTGTATCACAATCCAATTATCTGCATGTGCAGAAAATATAACAATTTATGCAAGCACCTTGATATTTTCCAACAATCACAACTCCAACTTCCAACAATTTGTTACTTTAAATCTATAGCCGTCATTCTTTTAACATATATAATATCAAATGTTATGCAGAGCAGTTATTGGAGTACAAATTTAATGCTGTTTTATGTAATATTTATTTTATTAATGTATTGATTTGTAATCTGTTGCTTTGCTGTAAATAAATAAATAAATTAGTATTAAGTACTTACAAAAGATACTATGTCCCTGTTCAATTCAAAACATTTAAGTATTTTTTAATTAATAAAGATTACATACATTACATTAAATTATAAATAAATTACATTACTTTATATTACATAATAAATTATTTTATATTTTTTATACAAAGTTAACCAGTATTATACTGGTTATGTCTGTCGAAAACAAAACCAAAATTGATGATTGTAGATGGATGGGCAGTAAGTAATAAAATCTAAAACTTATTTGTTTTGGTTTCTATTGTTTTTGTTAATATGACTTCTTATATGATTAATTCCTCATATAATTTTTTTAATATATTATAATTTTACATATAACTTTATTTTTAAATATCTTCTATGTACAAACAGCTTTAAGTTAAAATTTTATTATATCACAAATAAACTGTAAAAATAACAACATGAGTGTCTAACATTCCATACACAGGTAGAAGAATGGTTTGTTAATTAGGGGTTGGGATGTATCAGCCCTATTACTACCTACGTAAATAAATAAATAAAATAAATATAGAGTCAGGTCAACTTTTTTGAGATTTGCTCTGGAGAAACTATGTTGGATAATTCTTGATGAATTTGTCACAATAGGACAATTGGCCGGGCTTCATCCCATACTGGTGTCTTGTCAGCATAAATAGATAGCACAGGTGGGGTTACCATATCATTATCATTAATTAAAAAGAAATCATACATAAAATTGCTTCGAAAGAATGATAGATAATTTCATATAACACATCATATGGGCTGCTTATTATTTTTTTTTCATGCAAGCTGGATCAGACTGCTAGCTTCAAATAGAATTAGACATATACCTCTGTAAATATTTATCAAAATATCTTGGTATTGTGGAGACTAGATCATGAAGTATAGTATTCCATACTATACTATAGTTGGAAACTATGTAGGTAACAATTATTGAAAATATGGCCAGTAACAAAAAAAAAAAAAATAGTTATACGTACTTTCATCACTGGAAATGAATGCTTAATATTTTTTTACACCTTACGAAAACAAGTAGGTTTTTTACACACCATATAATGAACAAATCCTTACAAATATTATAAATGTGAATGTGAGTTTGTTTATTACATTATAGCACCTTAACAGTTTAACCAAGCACTATAAAATTTGATATACACATACAATATGAGATGAAGGATATTGGCTACTTTTTATGGCAGTCAGTAAACATATACTGGTTACGCAGACAGTCATGGTTAAAACTAATAGCTAACTAAAAAGCATTTTTGACAAAAATACACATAAGGTGATCAGCTTTAAGAACCAACTTCTTAAAAGGAGAAAAATCTGATTTTGTACTTTTTTATAATTTTTTGGGTTTAATATTATCAATATCAGTTCAATTGTTCAGTTTTTAAATCAAAATATGTAATTTTGCCACAAATAAAGTTAAGAGTATTTTTGTTGAATAAAATCTAAAGTTACAAATAAAGTATGTAATACTGATATTTGTATATGTCTAATTCTTACGTCATTAATTTAGATAAAAATATGGTATGCTATGATTGATTATTGAATATGCAAAATATATAATACAAAATAATTTATATATAAATAGACAGTACATAGAAGATTAGATACTTGTTGTTTTGAAAATTAAGCAATTTATTATTTTTAGAATACATAAAAACTTTTTATATCCCAATTAAATAAAATACCTATAATATTGTAGGTAAAGAGATTTTATCGTTGATAAAAAAAAATTAGGTATTCACGCGATATATAATACACAATACCGTTGTCAGTTTTAATATTTATCGTGTTTTGAATACGAGCCGTGTTTTATTATTCATCTGTCACGACAATTTACATGCACGATATTCGTCGATTTATTGACTTCGAATTATTAGACTGTATAATATTACATTTTTCATTACGAAATACATAAACCCTGGTCATAAATAAAAATTATTAAAAACCTAAATCCGTTTGATCCGTTCGACTTTCAAATTGATGTCACAGCCACACGATTGTTAAGCAGGTACTCATGACTACTTATTATCTAGATATAGATAGCGCCTATTTGTGTTCAATTTAACAAACCAATGAAAAGAACGATTTGTTTACTAACCTCTTTGGACTGCAGGCTTTGTCGCAGAACAAATTATCAAGTACGAAATAATCATCACCATCACTTGGTCTCACTGAATTCAACAAAAGCACATTGTGATCGTAAAATAACTATAGAACATAAAAATAATAACCAGTTTTAAGCCGGCAGCACTGTATTGACCCGAACCCTTGAAACCATGGGGAAAATATACATTTTTTATCAACTTAGATCGATTCTCAGTGTTCTATGATGCACAGAGAGCGGGACTGCGTAACGTACTCCCTACAACCAATTCCTTTTATGTAACAATATCACTCACGAGCACCTTTGTAATTTCATTAATAACACCTAAAAATCGATTCCACAACAAGGTTCACGACAATTCAAACACAAGTCTGCGGCGGCGTGATAAAATATATTATGTTCCTAACTAAAGCTGCGATGTAATACTGCACGATATATATTTCATAGTAAAACACTTTTGTGACTACAATGTGGGATATACGTGTAAATTATGACAATGCCAACCAATTTTCCGTGTCATATTTCTCTACAATGGTGCAAACAATAACTGATGGCAAGAACGCACGACTCGAACTATGCACGCTCGCTTTGACACTAACCTTTGCATAGATGTCGCCGTACTCGCGGCCATAATGGAAATGGCCGCTGACATAAACCGTCAAATAACTACAAGCTATTTTCAACTTTAATAACACGCAGTAAGTTGGAAAATGGATTAACAATATTCCACCAAAACTATGATTCGATTGTATAAGACGACCGATTAAAAAACACTCAATTGTACTGCACTTTGATGCGATGAAACGTGCATTTTGTGTAATTCGTACTATATCGAGGATCTTTTTGTCTCTTTTTCTTGGAGGCGATTTGGAACAAATAATAATTTTATTCTACGCTTGCGCGAAGCTCTTCATCTATAATAATATGAACTTTATTCCTTTGTTGTAAAGTCTTTTAACCATTTGGGCAAAGCTAAGACAATAATTATTTGTTGTTCCATGACCAATAAAATATTTTAATTTATTGTGTGTTCATCAATGTAATAATCGCTACCTACCTATTTTTCAACATTACAATCGTATTAAAATTAATTTGGTAGTAATAGGTAATAATAATTATATAATAAATTACATATAATATGTATATATATATATATATATATATATATATATATATATATATATATATATATATATATATATATATATATAACTGGCTACTTAAAAGCAATATAATAAAAAAAATTGTTAAAATTTTTAAAATGGAACTCTACGAATAATACTGAGTATATAATTTATTCGTTTGTCATTTGTTTTACGGTTTGGCGGCAAATTGAAAATAGTAACGTTATCATGAATTTAACACGAGAAAATTTTTGTGCGATGATTTTTTATGACTTTCGATGTCATCTAAGTCGACAAAAAAGTTATGATAGACTACGATTGGCTTTTCTCCATGAAACTCCGTCTCGTGCCACTGTTTACAACTGGTTTAATGAGTTTAAACGTGGTCGTACTAATCTCACCGATGATGTGCGTGAGGGACGGCATTCTACGGCGACGACTGAAGATAACATCAGTGTTGTGTAGCGTATGATAGAGACTGACAAAAGAGTGACCTATCAGCAGATTCGGGCAAGCTTAGGGTTTTGGTATGAGTCAAGTGTACAAAATCCTCCATGAACATTTGGTGGTCAGCTTTGTGCCCGGTGGATACCTCATAATTTGACCGAGGCTCAAAAACTCCGTCGTGTTGATTGGTGCCGTGAAATGCATGAAAGATTTAATGGAGGTGACTCAAATTCTGTGTTTGACATAGTTACAGGAAACGAAAGCTGGATTTACTGTTATGATCCCGTAAATAAAAGATAATCAGCTCAGTGGGTGTTTCCTTCCGAGGAATTGCCAACTAAAGTGAAGATAGGTCGAAGCGTGAAAAAAAGATAGTAGCCTCGTTCTTTGGAAGGACAGGTCATTACACGACAATTGTTTTAGAGGATCGAAAAACAGTTACTGCAGAGTGCCGTCGTTGAGTAGGCCGTCGAAGAGATCTTAGGGACGAGTGGGTAAAATGCTTTCCTCAGTGGTTCTATCGGATGCAGCGATGTATTGACGTGAATGGACACTATTTTGAAAAGATAAAATCAAGGTAAAAACTTGCTAATTTAATCAGTTTTTTATTTTCTAAGTAGGTATATATATATATATATATATATATATATATATATATATATATATATATATATATATATATATATATATATATATATATATATATATATATATATATATATAGGTAAGTAGATATCCTACCTAGACACTTAGGCTACTTCTTCAAATGTATATACCTATCAGTTGGTAAGTACCTCTTCGAGGAACAAATTGAAACAAAACTAAAACTAAAAATTAAATATTTTTGTAAATATATATTTTACAAAATATGTATATAATTTTTGTTATTTTATTATGTTCATTCATCATATGATCGCATGACGAAAAAAAAAAGAAATTAGATTACAAAAAAGAAAAAAAATGGGTTCCTAAAAAAAGGTTATCACCCAATTTTAAATTGATCATCACAGCGTACATATTCGATGTCGCCCACAACAGGTTTAATATTACCTACACCACCATCGATTCCTAATTATCACTTGAGTTCCTCATCATCGATGACAAAAAAGACTTAAGCGCTTTTTTTAAACCTTTATGATTACTTGGTGCCCCACTTCTATTTCAGTGCCCCTGAGTGTCACTTGACCTCCCTTTCCGCCGGCCGGTACCTACTTTTATTTTAATCGATGATGATAGAATTGTGCTACTATCACCCGCTTATGGTAACTATCATGGTTGGGGGAAAGAGATTGTTAGTAATAGGGTGTATTCTTAACAATATACACTCGCGGTTCCCCTGGAAACTATCGTCGTTAATTTATGTTGTATTCATCACGATGGGCCAACTGACCTACTTCATCTTCACCTATAAGTACTTCGCCTGTGTATACCGATAACGCAAGCGGGGTCACTATTTCATTTTCACCTTTTAAAAACACCCATCATGGTTAATTTAAGGTGCATTCGTCACGACGTACCAGCTGCCCGGACTTTATTCCAATTGTTTCATGTTTCAGTGATGATGATCGAATGATGCATCTTTATCTATTGATATTAAAGTCCTCGTGATATAGTCAAGTTTGTGTTCCACAAAAAAAAAAACAATTGTAGCAAAAGCAGTACTTAATTTATTTTTTAATATTCATTAAAAAAAATTTAAGTACTAAACTGATATTGATAAAAATTTTATGGGACCAATCTATTAGCATATCCTTTCACATAAAAGAGAGTTTTCCGAATCGGTTTATAACTGACAGTTATGAGGGAACAAATATAGAAAGATAATAAAAAAAACCATGAACTCTTACAGCTTGCGCTGAGCAGGCCAAGACGCGCAGTCAGGTTCGTGCTCGGATCACAATTGCTTGAGATTAAGGGTTCCGAATGGTCCCCAACGATCCCGAAACTAGTCAAACTTTCTGGACCAAATTACAAGTAAGTTAAACCGGTAGTTATTACATTAAAAAAATATAACCTAATCGAGAGCCTCCTTCTTGAAGCCAAAGTTTGAAAAGATGGTTCTTTCAGCTGTTATACACGGTGTCTATTATTTCATATGATCATACATTTAAGCAAAAGGTGCACGTGTTTAAAGTCTAACACCGTACAGCTGGAAAATGAATCTGCTCCCAACATCTGAGTAATTGTCCGTTTAAGTGGAATAAAACGCTTAAAATTTCTGTAATCAAGGGAATGGAAAAACTCAGAGTGTATCACAAAGAGCTGCCCGAGGCGTGACGTGCAATTTGTAAAACGTTCGACTAGCCCTCGTCCTGGCATTTGCCTGATAAATGCTTTTCGAAACATATTTTTATAATGCCATATGTCTCTAGGTATGATAATTGTACAAATTACGTGAAAAAAAGGAAAGTACTTAAGCACATTCTATATTAAGATAACATTTCACAGAAAACAGAAATCTTCAGTCAATAGTATAATCAGCTGTTCTGATTTAAAAACTAAACTATTGAACTGAAATTGATAAAATTTCTATGGGATCAATCTGAAAACATATCCTTGCAAATAAAGGTAAAAGAATTTTTCAAATTGATTCACAAAGGACAGAATAATGAGGTCAATAAAAATAAAAAAGTACAACTGGGTTGAGAAACATCATCTTTTTTAAATCGGTTGCAAAGAAATTTAAATCTGTCCTGACAAAGAGTCTTATCAGTTTTTGGCGATAAGCTGTCTGTATCCGGGATGTAGCAGTGAATTTACAGGATATAGAGGAATAAAACCTGAGTCCTCAGGAATGGCAACGCATGGGGGTATCATGGGCGGAACAGTATACTATGCTATGTCCATGGTACAACTCATGTCTATAGGCGACGGTTACCACTATCCATGAGGTGGGCCGTCAGCTTGTTTGCTATTTCTAAGTTGCATAAAAAATATCCATGTTGTGATCGAGTTTATATACAAGTATTTACTAATTTTTGTCCGCGACTTCGACCGCGTGGTCGGGATGTTTTCACTGACTGTGATGTCTATGTCCTTCTCCAATATCCATGCCATATACTTGTAATAATACTCGTAAGAATATTTGTCCGAATTTATGTATATGTACGTACATATGTATAAAATATAGGGGCAATAAACTGTCAGAAACGATTCAATTGTGGGGGTTTTTGAGACTTTGTGTCATTATAATGTGACATTTTTTATACTACAGCTTTATTACCGTGTAAGTAATACAAAAGAACAAATTAATAAGTCCACAATATTTTTTTTTTAGTGAGAATGGTATGGTAATCCCGCCTGCGCTAACGGGATACGCTGGCGGAGCACCAGTGAAGGGTGGTAGATTAGAATGAAAACAGGCCAGTTAGCTCATCATGATGAATTCATCAAAAATTAACCATGATAGTTTCCAGGAAGAATCGCGAGGAGGTCAACCTGGTTGGGTATATTGCTAGCAATGGGATTCTCAGTCTCCATTAATAACAATCCCTTTCCCCCCAATTCATGATAGTGAGGTTGTGGAATAAGTAACAAAGCTGAATTTTACAATGTGACAACCAGAGAGTAAGCAAATCGAATAAGGTCAGATACATTAAAATATTTCAAGTATTTTTATGTGTTAGGCCGCGAATATTTCGATCTGCCCTCGTAAAATGAAACTTAGATTTAATTAAATAAAAAGTCGCCTATATCCTTCTCCATCCTAAATACTATGCACTCTTACTCACCATATATCAAATGTCATAGCTATTGATTGAACGGTTGAGGCACCAAATGGCAGTAATCAAAGAAAGAAACAAGTATTCAAATCTTTATTTATAATGTAGCTGTATCCCGTGGCTTCGCCCGCGTTAATCAGTTCACAAAGTATCAAATGTGCTAAGCTTGTGTCCTAAACATAAGCTACCGGTGTACCATTCACATCCATTTAGTAGTCTTTGCGTGAAAGCATAGTAAACTATCATTTATCTATCCATCCATTCATCCATCCATCTTTTTTCACTTACTAACGCATCATTTGTTATATTAAATAGTATGTAAAAGTAGGTTTATTTGTTTGTTTCCTCTTGCCGCCTTAATAACTTAATTGCTAATACGAGGATGAATTGAAAAGTTCGCGGCCTCAGCAAGAAAACAATATAAAATATAAACAAAAACAATTTTATTTTTCCACGTAATCTCCACTTAACTCAATACACTTCTTCCATCTGGTTTCCAACACATGTATGCCAGTCATAAAAAATGTTTCTTTAAGGCCTTCAAAAAAGTGACCTACCGCAGCTTCGACCTCCTCATTTGATGAAAATTTTTAACCTACAAGGTGCTTTTTTACGTTTGGGAATAAATATTGAATTGAATAGAAATTGAATATAAATTGAAACTCGTACTAACACGGTAAATAAGCTAACGACCCACCTAACGGAACAGAATTGAGGGGAAACAGATTGTTAGTAATGGGATTTAATAGCCCAATTGCTTATATTTATATAATAATTTTTAGTAATGTACCCTATTAGATCGATTTCCACACAGTTTCCCCTAAAGACCGTCGTGGTTAATACTTGTTGAATATGTCACGACCGGCCAACTGACCTGCGTTTTCCACATCTACATCTCTCACTGATACCCCGATAGCATATATCTAACGATAGCAAAAAAATATGAAGCAAAATAGGTAGTTGGGTACATTAAAAATTATCATTCCTTTCGTATCACTCATGCGTTGTTATCACTGAAGACTATGATATATGTTCCCTGTAATTTCTCTTCTATTTCCCACCCTTCACACCCAATTGTTAGTAGTACATATAAAAATATCGATTGAAGTGACTGAACGGTATTGTCGATTTTAGTAATTTATTTACTCTTTATTGCATCACTTAAAGAATAATACAAAGATACAAAAGGCGGTCTCAATGCTAAAACAATCTCTTACAGACAACCTTTGGGTAGAGGAGAAGAACATTTTAATTTGATTTAAAATGTTTTTATAATACGGAAATTAAGATAAAACTTTTATTAATTTCTGTACCTTTTCATTAATTTCTATTAAAATAGACTATACCTATATTTAATAGTTTACTGTCGATTTTAATCGTTAACTTTACTACATACAAAAGTATATAGTGTAAAGACATTTTATTTATTTATTTTTAACTATAACATTTAAGTCGATTGGTACACATGTATGCCTGTAACTACTAATAAATTGTCAGTTTTTCTCATATTGGGTTTGCTGGAAGGAATCTCTTTTGGAGATAAGCTCGCCTTTATGCACTATTATGTTTGTTTTTTCATTTCAATATCCTTTTGTGTACAATAAAGAATACAACTAATTACAGTTGACTACATTTTTCATGAACGACTAATAGCGACATCTATAGTTAGCAATGAAAGCACAAGTGTGAATTCCACAGAATGTCATTCTACAGAATCAAAAGCACACATAGATGCGTAATATAGAGTTTGTGACCAGAAACTACCTCTCCTGCTAGATGGCACAAAACAGTTAAGTTTCAGTTTCAATATGTCTATTAACAGGCATTCGATCAAATTTGCTAACATTGCTCAATATAATAATTGCTGATGTGACTATCTATACAACCTCTATACAAACTAAAAATTATTATTAGATGATATTTGTACAAAGATGTCTGTTTAAAAAAATTTATAAGATGGATCCTAATAAGAGCACAAGAGGTTTTGGTTTTTCTTTTTTACAATTTTTGTTTGTATGTTTGTTCTGGCATCAAGCAAAAATCATTATAAATCAAATAAGATTTTCACAGTTGTGTTCCGGAATGTGTATGTCATATTGATACGCCATCTAGAAGCGGTCTATTATTTCTAAAATTCACGAGTGCCTATAAAGTTGCGGGTAAGAGGTAATTAGTAATAAAAATAATATTATTCTTGTCCTCTGGGATAAGGATTGAAATTCGACGAGAAGTTCTTCATTGCGAACTAATTCTCCGGTCAGGATGGTTAGAAAATTAATGAAACAAATTATTTTATTTTACGGTATTTGTCTTATGTTTTATTGTAATGATAATTTATAATTGATAACAAAGATAAAAGATAAGATTATACTTAAGCTGGTAATTGGTAAATGTGATTACTAACAATAATAAACATTATTCTAAGAATACAATGAGTAAGTACATAAGTAAAAAAGGAATAAACTTAACAATAAAGTAGAATTTAAGTAAATGAAAATAATAAAGCTAACTATGAAATCAAGCAGAAACATATATTTTATACATCCATATTGATTATCTAGTGTTAAGTCAAAATTCAGTTAGCCAAATGACTCTTTGGCTGACTTCTTTGTTAACAATATACTCGTAAAGTTTATTAGGTTTCGGTGTTGACAGTAATTCGATTAAAATTCTTTAGATCAGTGCCTAGTGTGAGTTTTATATTTTAAAATATATTTTTAGATATTAATTATAGTAATCGTTCACTGATTACACGATTATAACTAATCTGGCCATAAATACTGTTACATAAAAACTTTTCTTTTTATCAACTTTTTAATTGTTTTGAATTTAAAATACGTTTATTATTTTAAAAAGTTTTCATTTCGCGCTATTTCACATATTTTTCGTGTTCATTATCAAATTACAAAACGGATTGAGGTGTTAAAGAAAATAGGTTTGCAGTGATCGCCTTGCACAAAGTGGGTATGGAGCTGTCGGTCATATTCCAGACACTCCAAAAGCTTGGTATCAGCCGTATGTTCGTATATCGTACTATCAATAGATACAACAACACTTACTCTGTTGAAGACCAGAAAAAAACGGGGCGGCCGCGTGTTGTTAGAACTACAAAGGCTGTTAATGCTGTTAAAGCCAGAATTCGTCGAAACTTCATTAGGAAGCAAAAATCTTATCGCCAGAAATGAAAATTCCCGCTAGGACTCTATCGCGTAATATAAAACAAGACCTGAAGCTCGGTGCTTATTGTCAATATACAGGTCATGCCATAAATCAATTTTTACAATTAAAGAGAGCGGATCAATCAAAACGCCTTCCATCGCGATATGTAGGTGAAAGGCAAATATTTTTACGATTGAAAAACACTACAATAAGCAAAATGATGAAGTGTACGCTCACAATTCTAAAGAAAGTGCTCAAGTGGTCATAAAAATACAACGTGGTCATCATCTTGTGTCAGTGATGGTTTGGTGGGACGTGTCTTATTAAGGAGTCACAAAACTACATTTTTGTGAAAAAGGACTGAAAACTTCAGCCAGTGTATCAAAATACAGTCTTGGATCATGTTGTGAAACCTCTTAGCAATACACTTTTTAAAAACATATCGTGGACTTTCCAGAAGGACTCTGCACCTGGTCACAAGGTACAAACTACCCAAGCCTGGCTTTAAACCAACGTTCTGGACTTTATAAGAGCTGAAGGCTGGCCTTCATCTAGCCTAGGCTTCAACCCTTTAGACTTCAAATTATGGTCAGTTTTAGAGGACATGGCCTGCTCTAAACGACACGACAACATTGAGTCTCTTGAAAGATCTTTGGAGCAAGCATTGGCAATTTTTTCCTGGCAACAGTGCGTAAGTCCATAGATGCGTAGCCAGACAGATTAAAGGCCTATATAAAAGTCAAAGGTGGCCATTTCGAATAAATTTTTTTTTTTATTTTTTTTTTGTTGAAACTTTAATAAATACGTAAAGTATAAATTTTAGTAATATTACATTACTTCATAAAAAAATACATTTTCATTTGTAACAGAACTTATAGCAGGACTAGGTACTACTGATTAATGACTATACATTCTGGTAATTTTATTCACGCACATATGAATAAAAAAAGTTGAACTGTTTTTGACAAAGCGTTTATACGAAGGCTATACTGAAATTTTTTAGAACTGGCTACTTAAAAGCAATATAATAAAAAAATTGTTAAAATTTTGAAAATGGAACTCTTTACGAATAATACCGAGTATATAATTTATTCGCTTGTCTTTTGTTTTACGGTTTGGCGGCAAATTGAAAATAGTCTGTGTAACGTTATAATGAACGAGAAAATTTTCGTGCGATGATTTTTTATGACTTACGATGTCATCTAAGTCAACAAGAAAGTTATGATAGACTACGATTGGCCTTTCACGATGAAGCCCCGTCTCGTGCCACTGTTTACAACTGGTTTAATGTGTTTAAACGTGGTCTCACTAATCTCACCGTGAGGGACGGTATTCTACGGCGACGACTGAAGATAACATCAGTGTTGTGTAGCGTATGATAGAGACTGATAAAAGAGTGACCTATCAGCAGATTCGGGCAAGCTTAGGGATTGGTACGAATGAAGTGTACAAAATCCTTTGGCGGTCAAGAAGCTTTGTACCCGATGGATACCTCATAATTTGACCGAGGCTCAAAAACTCCGTCGTGTTGATTGATGCCGTGAAATGCATGAAAGATTTAACGGAGGTGATTTAAATTCTGTGTTTGACATAGTTACGGGAGACGAAAGCTGGATTTACTGTTATGATCCCGAAACTAAAAGACAGTCAGCTCAGTGGGTGTTTCATTTCGAGGAGTTCCCATCTAAAGTGAAGAGAGGTCGAAACGTGGGAAAAAAGATGGTGGCCCCGTTCTTTGGAAGGACAGGCCATTACGCGACAATTGTTTTAGAGCATCGAAAAACAGTTACTGCAGAGTGGTACAGTAACAATTGTTTGCCACGTGTTTTGGAAAAAGTGCGTGAGATATGACCTCGCAGTAGAATCTTCCTTCAACACGACAATGCTTCGTCGCACATCGGCAGGCAAACGATCGATTATTTGGCGACCTCAGACGTAGAACTACTGGGTCATCCACCTTACAGCTCCGATTTTGCGATTTTTATTTATTTCGAAAAATAAAAGAAAAACTTCGAGGAAAACGTTTTATGGACGCCGAGAAATCTGTGGCTACGTATCAGAAGGCCGTCGAAGAGATCCCTAAGGACGAGTGGGCAAAATGTTTTTCTCAGTGGTTCTATCGGATGCAGCGATGTATTGATGTGAATGGACACTATTTCTAAATGATAAAATAAAGGTAAAAACTTGCTAATTTAATCACTTCTTGATTTAGAAAATCAGGACTTTCAGTTTGACCCTCGTATGCAGACTTATATCTGACATTTACTGTAAGTCGGTCTGTAGTAATTTGGGGTGTGTTTTATAATATAACTTTAAATGGAATTATACAAATGAATTGTTTTCTATAAGAATATCAGTATTATTATTATAATATCTACATATTGCACCAATAATGGATAACAATTGGTTATATAATAATATATACTGAAATGAAGAACGTGATCGAAATGAATACATAAGTATATATCTGATTGATATGGCCACTGTTAATATCTAACCAGAGGAATCCGGAGGGAAGGGAATTGTTAGTAACGAGGACTGGAGGCCCCATAGCTAGCCACATACCTAATCAGGTAGACAGTCTCGAGGTTTCGCACTGGAAACCATCGTGATTGAATACTTGTTTCACCCTCAACTATATTACTCTTCACTGGTGTCCTGCCTGCTGCAACGACAGTGCAAGCACGGATACTATTCCTTTATTATCCATTAAACAAAACTAGAGAAACCCAATATATATGTATACATCAAAGCCTTATTGATTTTACTTACGTTATTTATATATATATATATATATATATATATATATATATATATATATATATATATATATATATATATATATATATATATATTAGAGTCATATATTTTATCGATGTCCCACTTCATAATAACTAGGCTCAACATATTCTTGATCCTTACTATTGACGTATCTATCTTTTTCAAATACATTCGTGTAGTCCGTGCTAGACGCTTGCTTCTGTTTATCATTAGCATTTGGAGCTTTCTTTATGCACGCATACTCGGGCTCTTTCTCATTTCTTCCAAGGTTTCTCGAATCGATTTGGTCATTTTTATTGTGGAAGGCCAATTCGGCGTATAGGCTTTCGGCGGGGGGATTCTTTCTTTTACTCTTTGGTATTGGAATCGAGTATAAATCCTCGGGATTTTTTGGTTTATATGGTTGTGCATATATGTTTTCAGAGCCCGAACTTTTTAGGTCAGCTGGGCTGCAATACGTGGCTTCAAGTGTTGAAGAATTTGGAAAAGGTTGTGTATTCTGCGATGTTAGGTTTTCATACTCTGTGTTGGACTGCCGCTATAAATTGACAAGATATTTATGACATTATAACCATTATACCACGACTTCATCCGCGTAACCGGGTTATGTTCATTGACGGGGATAAAAGGCTATATCTTTTCACGTCTTATATAGTAAGTGTATAGTCTTAAGTCTCTTTTACATTTACAATATTAGTGTAAGAACATGAATAAAAAAGTACTAGAGGTCGATACAAAGTGATTAGATAAAGATGATTGAAATTGTATTAATTTGGAGTTTTTTTTTTTATATTTGTGTAAAAATCGAAAATCGCTTTTTGGTAAACTAGATGTTATTGTAGGAAGTACAATATTTGTTGTTTTGCGACTAGTATTGCCTTTTCTAAAAATCAAACAGCCAGACTTATTTGCCAGTTAAAAAAATATGACTTTTAGGTCCCAAGGCCAGACGTTAAGGATTAAAAAAAAATTGACAAGAATATCTCACTCGAAGGGCGAAGTGTGTGTGGTGTGAGACTAATGAAAGCCAGATTGGTCATCGATTGGACATCGTCCAATTTTTCTAGACTAGAAGTGAAAAATGTCTGGCTTTATCCGGACAGATGGTAATCCTATTTGCGACCAATATTTTTTTAAGAAAAAAAAAATCAGTTTAAAAGGACACCTAACAATTTCGATTTTTGGCGGTGTTGTGTATTATTATTTCAGCAATTTATTTTTCACTGCTGGACATAAGCCTTCCCTCTAGGGGGGTTTTCGTCAGTAGTTGCCACGCTTGACAGGCGGGTTGGTAACCGCAGATAGGCTTTTATAGATGTTTTAAGAGGTACGCTGCTGTCCATCCCTTGCTCTCCCATAGTCGCCTCTTACGACACCCGCGGGAAAGGTAGGGGCCCATTCTATGCCGGGACCGACACGGCGATATATTATATATATTAATAATAATATTATATTTACCAGTGTACGGAAGTATTTCTTTATGGCCTTGATTATTGATAGAGTAATGAAAATGAGGATCACACACGCACAAATGATCAGAATCCAGAGCCATAATTGACCTAAAACAAACAATGTACCATAGATAATTATATAGGCTGTAGGGGTTATGGTTGTTTGGAGCAAAGATTTCGGAATAGAATGTTGTTAGGTTTGGACTTAAACCTCATTTTTTGAAATAGCAACATTGACAGGGTCTAAATAGATTTTTTAAGCGGAATAATAACCCCGCCGGCGTTATTGGATGAGGCTAGCAGGCTACCAGTGAGGATAGGATAATGAAGGAGGATGAAGCCAAATCAGTTGGTCTATGGTAGCAAGTTCACCAGGACGGTGTTATTTCGTACAAAAGAAGTTTATATGGAATCTATGCAACCAATTAATCGAATTTGATAATTTCACACCTTCAAATTGTTTTCCACGATATCTGTCGGTATCGATATATACGACAGAGGCATATTATAAATATATAGTTGTATAACACTATGAATATTTTATTATTTTATTGTGTTATTCTGGTTGCATAAATTTATTTTCTGTTTTTGTCAATATAAGAGTATGTTATATATAATGCATTTACCATTTTGGGCTGAATTTGGTTCATTATTTTTTGACAATTCAGAGGAAGTTTCTATTAGTTCGCTCGATGTGTCTTTACTGGTAGCCGGTTTCTGGGTTACTGTTGGAATTAAATTTTGTGATTAATTCAATTCTTTAACAAACGAATCCGAACAGACTTAATATATGTATCTTTGTACTTCCAAATAACATGGATGTAGATATTAAAAAAATTACACAGAGTGAGTAGCTATAATTTTATTTTTTATTAGTTTACCAAGTAGGTATTTACCAATGTTAAAAAAATCAATTGATACTGGCACATTTGCGCTCATTATTCAAATTTAAAAACAAAATATGTCGAAGGCATGCTTGCGTTGTTAACACGGACGTTATAGAATATACTGTCTAGTCTATGATACCCTTTATGCGCTGTCATTCCTGAGAACTAAAGTGTTATGCCTCTGTACATTGTAATTTTATTACGATGCCCCACCCTCAATCAACCCACAAACTGAAACATAACCATGCAAATACAAACAAAAATATTAAATAGGTATAAATATACTTTACCCTTATTTTTATTTGGAGTAGTAATATTTAGTGTCATAAATATTGTAGCAATTTCTTCTTTGTTGTCGTGATCTATTAAAATGCACCTGATATTGGTACCATTGTGGTTTATGCCCAATTTGAAATTACGGTTTAATGTAGATATACTACTATTGATGGTACCTGTGAAAAATATAAAAGGTACAATTAAATATTGTACATATTTACAACCTAATTTGTGACCGGGATATAAAGTAACTTATATCCATTTCCATCCCATACCCCGTACCTGTATTCCAATTTTCATAGAGATTGGTTAAGCCATTAATGAGTTAAGAGGTAACAAACGAACAGATTCACTTACTTTAGATAGAATAGAATAGAATAGAAAATCATTTATTCAAATAAACTTACATTGAAGCACTTTTGAATAGTCATAAAATTTTTTTTGATCTACAGCTCGTTCGGAAAGCTGTCTCATCACAAGAAGAACGAGCAAGAAACTTGCGTGTTGCTCTTTTAAATAATTTTATTATTACTATCAGAGGAACCTCCTTCCGAGAACACAGCAACAGCTAGCCATCGACAGAGAGTTCACTCCCATATTTTATAGCCTTACATTATATATAGATAAAGTGTCTCCATACAAATGCTTCAAGAAAAACGGGTTAAAATTTTATACCATTTTGCATCATAAATAGTTATGAGTGATTTTTTTATAATTTCTATATTTATTTTGCCTTATAATTTCTGCATCTTTTTAATGCGTAAACACTCATTTTATTCATTAAATGTTATGTCAAGATACATTGTATGCGCAAGTATATAGAATACTAACAAAAAAAAAAACAAGTCAGCTAATTTGACAATTAGCTGTCAAAAAGTTGGCCCGTTTTTTAGACTCGATGCTCTATTTACATAATGTATTCGTATGTAAGTTTATAGCCTAGATGGTTGCATTCAGCGCGGTTTCAGATATGTTTTCTTTCACGAATGCTTAGGTTATAGAATGAGTTCCCTATCGAGGGTTTCCCTAGAGACTATATATTCTTAAAAAACGGCGTAATAAGGTTTATTAAGATTCGCAACACGCGCGACATCCCTGTTGTTACAGGTGTCCACAGGCTACGTTAAACTCTTTTACCATCAGATGGGCCGTATGCTCGTATTCCACCATAGCAGTATAAAAAAAGACATCAGAATAACAGCAATAGAGCTCGTTACCGTTGGGCACGTATAAAACGTATAAAAGGTTTGTAATAAAGATATATGTACTATAGGTATGTCAATAATACTTACTGAAGTTTCCAAAACCTTCTATCATCTGAATATCGTATGTCATCATACTTTCAGGAGATTTAGCTAAAACGCATGTTACATTAACCGTATTATCATCATCTTCCATGTAGTTGTATGTAAAATTGTTTTGATGTGACTCTCCATTGACCGTCATCTGTAATTCTAAATAAAGTTTGCTGTATTACCTTATAGATTTTCAAGTTGTTTATGGTTTACGGGCTTGGATCTTTTTAATGCGTAAACATTCATTTTATTACAAAATTAAATGTTATGTCAAGAAACAAACTATTGATAATGAAATGATAACTTACTCAAACATTGATATTTTATGTATAATACAGTAAGTTCTATTTAAGTTATACAGTAAAACAAAATACAACGAAGATAATAGATTTTGTCCCATAAAAAAGATTGACAATTAGCTGTCAAAAATGTAGCAACATTAATAACGTTTTTTGATTCGATGCTCTATTTACATATATATATTCGTTATTAAAAATTGAAATCGGTTTATAAATGACCTAGATGAACATAAGTTGCATTCATGAAGCGGTGAAAAATATCAGATATATTTTCTTGGATTAGAATGCTTAGGTTATTATTATATTGAGTTACACCACATTAATATTCGATATTCTTCTCATTGTTAAATTGAGACTTATATATTTTAAATGACACCAAAAAACGGAAAACTAATAACAATTTGATAAATAAGGTTTATTATAGTTTTGTGCCTAACTGACTGACTACCATACACAGAGTTCTGTACAAATAAAATAATTTGTAAATGGATTTGTGCTAATACAAATTATTCGCCAAGAACAGGCGAAAACTAAATAGGGTTGCCATAATGTACATTTATTACTCGTAATAAGGGAGAGATAATACTGTGCGGTCAAACTGAATAATATAAAAGATACAACATACATAATGATTCGTAAAGAGAAGTCTTTACTGAATACTTTGATTTGTATATGAGAATAGACATAAGTTTTCGTTGTTAATTCCACCATTTTAATTAAGTATGTATGTTAAAAAAAGATCTATATCATTATAGTAGAATAACAGCAATTTAGAGCGTCTTGTTTTGTTAAAAGTTGGCCAATGATCATATTAGTCGTAATGAACACAAAACGATGCTCTATCTATATAATAAAGGATTTTGTAATAAAGATATATGCAAAATCTATTTATTAAATTTATTGTCAGGTATGTAATAATAATCTTACTGAAGTTTCGAACATTAAAAACAAAAATATAATTCATCTGAACTTATATCGTATGTCATCATACTTAACGACATGCTTTTCCACTGTATTGGTTTGACTGGAAGAGATCTTGTCAGAGATAAAACGCTCACAACATTTATAAATGCATTACATTAACAATAAAGAATATATAATCATCATCTTCCATTTATGTTTGTATGTAAAATTGTTTTGATGTGAACTCTCGGAATAAATTTAATATTGTATGTTTTTATATTTTGATCTTTATACTGACAAGTGATTCTGTTCTCTTTATCTGTAACATTATATTAGCAAAGTTTGCTGTATTACCTTTTTTTATACCTGGTGAGATTTATCAAGATTACGTTGAGTTTGTATGTCGATTAAATAAAATGATGTTTTGATATAAAATGTGATTGAATTTTTTTCGTTATCTTATAAACTCCGTTATTTATAAACCTAATTTAAAAATCTTTTTTTATCTGATAGATATACATTTATACAAAATTACATAGTTTGTTTTTAAATCAAAATACACACACACACACACACACACACACACACACACACACACACACACACACACACACACACACACACACGCACGCGCACGCGCGCGTTTGTTAAGGCGTTACGCAACGCACACGCCACGCACACACACACACACACTTTCAAAGGTGATAATGAAATGATAACTTCACTCAAACATTGTAAATGAGTATATTTTATGTATAATACAGTAAGTTCTATTTAAGTTATATATATATATGGTAAAGTAAATTAACAAAATACAACGAAGATAATAGATTTTGTCCCATAAAAAAGATAAAATACCAACTGCAAATGTAGCAACATTAATAACTTACTGTTGATTCGATTTTCAATGGATCCAAACTGAAAGTACATATATATATCCTTTCAGTTAATTAAAAATTGAAATCGAGATTTATATTCTTTTTTCGAAATAATGGTTTATAAATGACGGAGTCATATTTATTAAAAGTAAGGAACATAAGAAATATATATTTAACAATATATACATATTTATTTATAAGAAAATAATAGAAGTCCTCCAAAGAATATAATATTATGAAGTTGTTGATAAAAAAAAATATACGACGGCTTCTTTATTGTCTATATAACTTACTTGGATTAGAGGCCATTACAACATTTGGATGTATTATTATTATATTCAATTTACACCACATTAATATTAAACATATTCTTCTCATTGTTAAATTGATACTTATTACTTATTTTAAATGACACCAACTAACTGTATGTACAGTGAGGAAAACTAATAACAATTTGATAATGAGCAGGATAATAGGTACCTATGACATATAGTTTTGTGCCTAACTGACTGACTACCATACACAGAGTTCTGTACAAATAAAATAATTTGTAAATGGATTTGTGCTAATACAAATTATTCGCCAAGAACAGGCGAAAACTAAATAGGGTTGCCATAATGTACATCTTCGGCTTATGCTTTAAATAAATTGTCTCCTATAGTAAATGAATCAGCGCTCATTACAGCGTATCATGGTATTACTGCTTCAAATTTACGGTATGGCATAATATTTTGGGGAAATTCAACGAAGAAAGAATTTGTATTTAAAGCTCAAAAAAGGTGCATAAGAGCCATGTTTAATCTTAAAATTACTGATAGTTGTATGCCGTATTTCAAACAATATATTATATTGACAGTACCTTCATTGTACATATTTGAAGTGTGTGTATTTGTTAAAACTAATAAGAATTCATTTCCACGACTTTCAGAAATTGTTAAACGCAATCGAAGTGATAATGATAAGTTATATCTAAAAAAATCTAGTACAAAACTTATGCACGATAGTATATTATGTATGGCACCAAAAATCTATAATAAAATACCAAAATCTATAAAGGATGCACCAACTAATGTATTTAAGTATAAATTAAAAAAATTCTTAATTGATAAATGTTATTACAATGTATGTGAATTCTTTAATGATAAAATCTGACAAAACGAATATTTATTTATATTTATTAACATCATTGTGACATCGTTCTTTTAATTTTGACTGACAATTATTATTTATTTAAATGTATTTGAAAATTGTAATGTGATGACGATTAATGGTATAAAATGGACTTGATGTATAATGTGAACTATTTGTGTAACCACATACTTTTGTATGCCGTACAGGCTAAACATGTCAAACGTTATTATATTGTCAACATCTGCATGTATTTATACGCATGTTTTACAAATAAATATATCTTGAATCTTGAATCTTTAACATATAGTTAAAACCTAATTTAATACTTAGACTACGTCATGGACAGTAACTTCTCAAACGAAATTAGGGATTAGCATTTCTCATTTTATTCGCTCAAACAACTTTAGTATTTCCTTCCTATAAGAACCAAAATCATGTTGGCTCAATCTATCCCGCTTTTTATTTGGACCATAACGATGTTTGTTTTGAGACTGAGAAGTCACTGAACAAATTTGAGCGCCTTCAAAATTTAGCTATCATCGATCGGTAAACAAACGATCAAAGATGAGTAAAACTACACAATCATGTATAAAGATCTTACCCTTTAATTTCTTCTCGGAAAACTTTACAGTTACAGTTATTATAACTTTACTTTCTTCGTAGATGCAAGATATACGTGATCGGTTATCTACAGATCTCGTTATTGTATGCTTTTGCTTCGATTCCGTTTGCTCCGATTTCGTTCGTTTGCTACATGAACCTAGAAGAATTAAATAAGTATTGGTGGTAGTTTATTTTAGTAGATCTGTTAAGATATCAAATATATCTTAAAAGGTCTACTAAAATAAACTTTAGTGGCTTTTACCCGCGTTAATACGCGTGGATCCATCTTTGCGTCAAACTCGACATTGGATGACGGGGAGAAGCTACCACCGACCATCCCATGTTGTAAGAGCTCTATGCCTGACATTAAATTCACGCATAGCTCAGTGCGTAGAGCACTTTTCTCCCTTGAAATCCATAAGTCGAATGGGCTCGATGGTATTCCTCCAATTGTGCTTAGGACGTGCGCACCAGAGTTGGCTCCGGTTCTTACGCGTCTTTTTCGGCTCTGCTACTCATCGGGCATAGTCCCAAAGTTTTGGAAGACTGCTCTGGTACATCCGATCCCTAAAAAGGGAGATCGCTCAGATCCAGCTAACTATAGGCCCATAGCTATCACTTCCTTATTCTCGAAGGTTATGGAATCCATCATTAACCGTCAACTGCTCTGATACCTAGAAGAGCACCAACTGATCTGTGATCGCCAAACGGCTTTCGACAGGGACTTCGGCCGGTGATCTTTTAGCTTACTTAACACACTGATGGGCAGTGGCAATCGAGAGTAAGGGAGAGGCCTTAGCTGTTAGTCTGGATATTGCGAAAGCCTTTGATCGGGTGTGGCATAGAGCGCTGCTTTCAAAGCTACTTTCGTTTTGTGTTGCCTGCGAGATTGTGCATTTGGGTCGCCAGCTTTCTCAAGGAACGTAGCATTAAGGTCGTAGTCGACGGAGCATGCTCTGATTTAAAACCTGTGAATGCTGGTGTTCCGCAAGGCTGTGTACTATCTCCGACTCTGTTTTTCTGCATATCAATGATATGTTACAGATCAGTGATATTCATTGCTATGCAGACGACAGTACAGGAGATGCATTATATACCGGTCATGCAAAAATCTCGCGGGCACATACCGATGAGTGCCGGAACAGATTTGTGTCTGAAATAGAAACATCACTCCATCAAGTTTCGATCTGGGGTGAACAAAATCTTGTCCAATTTAAGCCTAAGAAGACACAAGTCTGCACGTTCACCGCAAAACAGACGCCGTTTGTCGTATCTCCTCATTTTCAGGGCACTTCCCTTGATAAAAAGTCGAGTCTAGGAATTCTGGGCGTTGATATATCTTGCGACATCCAGTTTTGCGGTCATCTGGAGGAGAAGGCTAAGATAGCTTCCAAAAAAGTTAGGAGTGTTTAATAGGGTGAGACTGTATTTTTTATGCCAGAACACCGCCTGAAATTATATAAAGCTCAAGTCAGGCCGCATATGGAATACTGTTCTCACCTATGGACAGGAGCGCCAAAGTACCAACTCCTTTCGTTAGACCGCATTCAAAGTCGGACAGCTCGAATTATTGATAGTCAACGCCTTACTGTCCGACTTGACCCATTGAAATTGCGCAGAGATGTTGCATCTCTGTGCCGAATTTATCATGGGGAATGTTCTGAGGAATTGTTCGGTTTGATACCTGCTGCTGATTTTCACTACCGTACAACCCGCCACAAACTTAAGTTTCATCCCAATCATCTGGACGAGTGGCGGTCTTCCACCGTGCGTTTTTCAAGGCACTTTCTTCCACGCACAACCATTCTTTGGAATTAACTTTCAGCAGCAGTATTTCCGAACCGATACGACAATATAACCTTCAAGAAAAGAGTATATACCTTTTTAAAAGGCCGGCAGCACACCTGCAATGCTGCTGGTGTTGTGGATCATGGGCGGCGGTAGTCACTTACCATCAAGTGAGCCGCATGCTCGTTTGCCCCCTATGTTGTAAAAAAATATTGATTTTTTTTCAGAAAATCTAATTCTTGGTATAGGTAGAAATAAAATAATATAAAATGAAACTTATCCCCTTTGAAATACGTATACTTTAATTATGAATCGTTAACAATAATTTTACAAAATTTGAAATAAATCGGACAATGCAATAAAATAACCCTCCCTCTCCCTATGCCCCTATAAGTTTTTCGCAAGAAAAAGTAGCCGGTAACTTTATACTATATTAGAATTTCACTACTGAACTCTACTACTATTATTAAAATAATTCCTGAAGATTAATGTGTTATGTCTCTGTACCCCATACTCTACCTTTGAAACTGAAACACAACCATGCAAATACAATTGTTTCACAGCAAAAACACTAAAGGGACAGAGACACCCGATATATAGTATCAGAAGAAATAGTTCTGATTTAAATAAAAAAGTCGACTTGGTCTGGAATTTTTTTAATCAAATTATTTGCAACTCTTTAAAAATGGTGGGTAATTGTTTCTATTAAAAAAATGGGCCAAAATTTTGTTAGCCAAACATCATTTTAGCTGACTATATGTTGATCTGTTTTTGTTATTCGATGCTTTATTTACACTCGAGAGCAATGAATCCGGGTCACTTAAAAAAACCTATAAATCTCGGGAAATAAGAATGCTAGCTTAATGAAATAAATTGTGTTTGGTAGACAATTAAATACTCCATAAATTAAGGTATTAAAACTTCTTAGTTACTGCAAGGTTATGGTTTAAAAAATCAAATTTAAAAAAGGGAGACTCGAAGATGGAACTACAAAATTACTGCATTTGATTTTGCTTTAATTTCTAGTCTAGTCTAGTCATTTAAGTGGGTATATTAATCATATTGATAGTATTCAATATCTATTATACAACCTGTAATTATATCGCTTACAACTGAAGAATGCACCAGAATCCTCACAATGCTGCAACACAACGCAAACCGCCCGGAGTCAGTGCGATACAGCCAGGACTGTTGACTGACTGTGTCAACAGTACAAAGAGTTCTCGGACGTTACAAGAAAACTGGGTCTAACCTACATAGACCAGGAACAGGCAGAACTAGGTATACTACAGCACGAGAATATCTATACTCGGTGAACACCATGTTTCGTAATCGCTTTCTCACAGGAACTGAACTTACAAATCAGTTTCGATGCCTCGGAGGAAGTAACCCCAGCGCATGGACAGTAAGACGACGACTTGCTGAAACTAACTTGAAATCACTTAGACCTGTAAATGGTCCTAAACTGGAGCGTGGTAATCGTATTTCAAGACTAAGATATGCCCAGAACCATTTAAATGGGACTGTTGAAGATTGGTCGAAAGTTATGTTCTCCGACAAATCAAAATTTATACTTTTCAAGCACGATGGAAGACACAGAGCGTATAGAAGACCAGGGGAAAGATTTAAGCAAGCATGCATAGAAGAAAAAGTAGCCTACGGTGGTGGGTCTGTAGTTGTGTGGGCCGAAATTTCATCGGACAGTCGCACAGAACTAGTGTTCATAGAAAACGGCTCTTTGACTAGCGTAAGATATCTGGAAGAAATCCTTAATGAACACGTTGGGCCTTTTATGTTCAATTTGGGTGAAAATGCTATTTTTATGCATGACAATGCACGACCTCATACAGGTTTCATTGTGAATGACTACTTACAAGAGATGAACATTATTCGTATTGAGTGGCCAGCACGCAGCCCGAATAACAACCCGATTGAGCATGCATAGCACGAGCTAGGGAGATGCGTAAAACAACGAAACCCTCCCCCAATCACGCTTCGTGAGCTCAAAGTTGCTCTCACAGAGGAATAGATAATCATTTATTTGGTTTTAACATTATTGATACGTCTATAGTAGCTAACACTAGAATGGGAGAATATTTAACAAAATCGTGTAAGAAACTTGGTGTGCAGCATGCTAAACCGCGTAAACGCAGTAATTTAACCACAAGAAGGCAATACAAAGTATTAAATTTCAAAAAAACCATATTGTTATACGAAAATGTCATGTTTCCTATTTTTGTTCTAAGGCGAGATCAGCAGTTTTTTTCTTTATGTAATATTTAATAAATAAGATGTAGTAACTTATAAATTTTATTAGTTTCATTTAAGGAGTATTATATTGTCTATTAAACGCAGTTTATTTTATTAAGCTAGCATTCTGTTGCCAAAATTTATAGATTTCTTTATGTGACCCGCATTCATTGCTCTCGAGTGTATATAATCCAATACCACACTTACTTATGTTGTTGCAGTACTCCCAATGACTCTGAGACAAATTATCGCTCTTATATTCGCATACGATTTTCAAAATGTCGCCAGGCCTGTGCTCGTATTCGGATTTTATGTTTATTCGATATGGATCATGATCCTCTACCACTGTCAGATCCAGCGAGGTGTCATTGATCGTCACCGTAGGAAACTCTAAAATTGTTATTTTCATCTTATTAATAGCATGAAAAGGGTGAATGAGAAAAAAACATTAATGAAAACAGAGAGCCTCTTCTAGGCAAAATACTGGACCACCTCACACGACATGATGATTTTTTAAAGAGAGAAATAGACGGCAAAAGAGGTAGGGAAAGGCCGAGAGATAGATAAAGATATATTGGGATAGATAAAGGAAATACTAGGTGTCATGTTGTGTAGGAAGGTCAAGGATATGGCTTGGAATAGAGCTGGCTGAAATAGAATACATGAATTAGTTTACTCTTAGCAAATACGACACTTTATGTACTGATTGACGCCGGAGAGGCTGCAGAATTTAGCTTGTTATTATTTTCCTTAAGCTTGGACACTTCACACAGTGTAATCTAGCTCCAAACTTAGCAGAGCTTGTTGCACAAACGTTTGTATTGTGCGGGTATCGAACCGGCGACAGGCGTTCATAGGCTGCGGTAACCGCTCACTATGAGATGAGCTGTATGCTTGTTTACCACTGGAGTGGTATTAAAAAAAATTAAACTGTTGGACCATCGAGACCGTTGTATATGAACGGTAGGATTAGTTAGTTTAGCCTATCGTGATGAATACATTTTGAATTCAGCACTATTGTTTCCAGGCAGACCGCGAGGACGTTAAAATTATGGATTTTAATGTAAAAAAATCTTTGAAAACTTCAAAAGTAATATTTTAATTATTTGAAAAATTTAGTAATGTATAACTTTGTCAACTGGTCAATGTTTTAATTTACTATGGCCGCCATTTTCAAATAATCATTTTTAATAATTCCTTTTTTTACTTGTCAGACAATGCAGACGTTATTGGTTTTATTGGTCTACTTTCATCTATTTTTCCCCCACAAAAAAAAATCGGTCTCAATCGTGGAAAACCAGTTATAGTGATTTAAAAACCAAACTGCTAAGTCAATTTTGATGCAATCGCTGTTTGAGGGATTGCCCTAGCGATAAGACCGCCTTTTGTACCTTTATGTGTATTATTTTCAATCTGTATTTATGTTACTGTATTTCACTTGAATTATTAACTTGTCATTGTATATTTTTATTTATCGTGCAATAAAGAGTTAAAGAAATAAATAAATTAATTAATTCATCATGATGGGCTAACTAGCCTGTTTTCAGTCTCATCGATCATACTTTACTGGTGCTCCGGCAGCATATTCCGTTAACGCAGGAAGGGTTACCATTCCATTTTCACCCATAAAAAAAAATTATATACGGCAGTTTAAGATATCTGGAGTCCCCTGGCTCTGGATAAGCCGTTCCCAGTAGACTCATACGTATACTTGCCAAAGTCGGTTGATAAACAGATAGACCTTAATTTTGGCTTTCTCAGGCTTAGGAAACACTTACTCAGAACTTTTAATTGGACGTTACTAATAGAGCTACGGTAATAAAAACCATTGTAAAGTTCAAATATTATCTTGTCATTTGTTAGATTGAATTGATTTTTATTAGTATACAATTTCAAAATCCATTTATTTGTTGTATTTTCTTTTCCAGTAGTCTGTAAAAATAATCAAAATAAGTTTATTTTAAAGTATTTCATACTATTTTATGCACGAAAATTATTAATTCATTCTTGCGCCACCTGCCCTTTTCTATCTGTTCTCCTTTAACTAAAGGTTGTCTGTAAAAGATTGCTCTAGCGATAAGACCGCCTTTTGTACCTTTATGTGTATATTTCAATCTGTATTTATGTTACTGTATTTCACTTGAATTATTCACTTGTCATTGTATATATTTATTTATGGTGCAATAAAGAGTTAAATAAATAAATAAATACTATAGACAGCGTTCTTTTACACACGAGGGATTAATGGAAACCACCGTGTTGAATTCTTGATAAATTCATCACGATACGTGTCTGTATACGATCAACGGTCGTGCTTTCATCCTCACCCATTATCTCTCACTGATGCTCCGCCGGTATATATATATATATATATATATATATATATATATATATATATATATATATATATATATATATATATATATATATATATATATATATATATATATATATGCATAAATATTAAGACAAATACTATTGACAGCAATACAATGCGACTAAGGGACCTTAGGAACTTATGGTCGAGCGATGGACAGCCGCGTTCCTCTTAAAACATAATCAAAGCCTAACTGCGATTGCCGACCCCCCTGGCAAGCGTGGCAACTACAGGCAAACCACCCCAATAGGGGGAAGCCTATGTTCAGCAGTGGACAGTTAACGGCTAATATATATATATATATATATATATATATATATATATATATATATATATATATATATTTATTTATTTATTTATTTATTAAATACAAAAAATTTACAACAGCGAGTACATTGGACCCCGCACTAGGCGAACCTGTATCGCGGGAGTCCATAAGAGATTGCCAAGACACTGTGATTTACAAATATAAATTAAATTAAAATACTAAGCCAGTTTTACGAAAGCAATAAGTTAGAATGAAGTGCTTCGTGAAAACATGCGCATAATACATAAACAAATACATATAATTAAATATACTAAAGACATACACTAAAATAAAATAAATAAAAAAGCCTTTTATTTCCCATTATAAAGAAAAGAAAAGAAAAATATTACATGCAATTTCATTCAATAATAATTATTTTCTTAATAAAATAAACTTATAAAAAATTATTCATTTTTTTTTATATTATTATTATATCTTTTCCTTTACTTGGGTATCCATTTAAGGATATAGGCCTCTTCCAACCTTTTCGACATGTTTCTGTCCTTTGGGAGTCTCGTCCAAGTAGGGCCTGCCACATCAACAATGTCATCACTCCATCGCGTCTTAGGTCTTCCGCGTGGTCTTGTTTTATTTCGTGGATACCAATACAAAATTTTTTCGCTCCATCGACCATCTATTGTCCTTGCTAAGTGTCCTGCCCACCTCCATTTTAGTCTACAAACTAGCTCAGCAGCATCGATAACCTGTGTAATTTTCCTTATATCCTTATTTCTCTTTCTATCTTTAAGATTTAGTCCTATCATGCTTCTTTCTGCTGCTCTTTGGAACACTTGAACTTTATTTAAGGAATCTTTGGTCAATGCCCAACTCTGACATGCATACATCAATGTTGGGAGAATTATTGTGTCCATTGCCTTCTTTTTCAATGTAACAGGTAACGTTGATTTAAAGATTTCCCTTAAAGACCAGTACCTACACCAAGCTTTTTTAATTCTGCGTTTTACTTCTGTGTTGGTCGGAGCTGTAAAGGATATGTTTATCCCTAGATATAAGTACTCTTCCACATAATCAATACTTCGTGTCTCCACAATAAGAGGTATTTTTTTACTATTGGTCATAGCAAAAGTCTTCGAAGAGTTCATTTTCAAGCCACATCTTTGACTCTCTTTATTTAAAGTGTTGAGCATGTATTCGACATCTTTATAGTTTTCAGAAATCAGCACAATATCATCAGCAAAACGCAAATGATTTAAATATTCACCATTGATATTAATCCCCATGTTCTCCCAATGTAATTCCTTAAATATATATTCTACTAACGCGATAAAGAGTTTGGGTGAAATGGGGTCTCCTGTCCTGTCGTACTCCTATTTTTATGTCAAATGGTTTTCCTTCACGTTCCAATTTTACTATAGCCTTACAATTTTTATATATTGTCTTCAATATTTCAATATAGCTTTCTTCTACACCTTGTACTAATACAAGGTGTAGAAGAAAGCTATATTGAAATATTGAATGAATTGATATGCTTTCCACAGGGGTTCATGTAAAATTGAATCGAATGCTTTTGAATAATCAACAAAAACGACGTACAGCTCTTTTCCGTATTCTGTATATTTTTCTATTAGTTGAGTCAATGTAAAGATATGATCGATTGTGGAATAACTAGCTCTAAATCCAGCTTGTTCCCTTGGTTGGTTTCTTTCCAATGATTTTGTTATTCTACCTAGCAATATAGTTGTAAAAATTTATAGATAGTCTGTTGCAAGTTGATCGGTCTGTAGTTTTCTATGTTTGCCGGATCTCCTTTTTTATAAAGCAAAGTTATGATGGATGTATACCAAGCTTCTGGAATTTCATTCAACAATAGGATTTCATTAAATAATTTAGTTAAATGTGGTGTCAGGGGATCAATTAAAGATTTTATTATTTCATTTGTTATTCTGTCATTACCAGGGCTTTTCATAGATTTTAAACGTTTAATTGTCCAGCGTATTTCTGTTTCCAAAAAGGGTGGCACATTTTCATATCCTTGACTCTTCATTGTATTTGTAGTAGTCTGTTGTTGTTTATCATCTTGATATAGTTTACCATAAAAATTTGTAGCAATTTTCAATAGTTCTTCTCTATTTGTTTTATTATTATTTTGTTTTTTAAGTCCAGGGACCCATACTTTTTCTTTGTTTAATCTTCTATATGCCCTTTTTATCGAAGCACTTTTATTTAATTCTTCTTCAATTATTTTATATCTATTTTTTTTATGCTTAGTTTTAATTGCTTTCTGACTAGTCTTTAAAGTGCTGTTAATTTCTGTTTCTCTGCTCTACTTTTATTCTCTTTATTCTTTAGTATATTTCTTTCTTTTATTAGTTTATTAATATATGTATTTATTAATATTTTTTTATTCTTATTTTTTTCTGTTGATATTTTATGACTTGAAGATTTTATTTTATTTATTAGATTATGATAAGATTTCTGTATTCCATCATATTTATATGATTCTATTTCTAATGTAAATATATATTTTTAGTGAGTGTTGCATACTATTAAAATCAGATGTTTTATTTCTAATATGCTTCCGGGATATTTCTCTTTTAGCCAATGTAAGTTTCGCTCTGACAAGTCTGTGATCGGCAGGAAAAGTCGTATTTATTACTTGTATGTCTTGTACCAGTTTTCTATTTTTAGTCAATATGAAATCTATTTCATTTTTGTCTTACAATCAGGTGAGATCCAAGTCCACCATCTCTTCTCGTTTTTTCTAAAATATGTATTCATAATGGACATTCTGTTTTCAAAACAAAAATCGACTAGTAATTGTCCCCTTTCGTTTCTTTTCCCATAGTTCCAAATTCTCATAACGTTTTTTTCGTTAAAATTAGCGTTAAAATCTCCCATTACTATCAAATTTTTGCCTGTACTTTCTAACACATCTCGTAACTTTTGGTAAAAATATTCGATATCTTCCTCTTTTGATCTCTCAGTAGGGGCATAACATTGTATTATATTAATTTCTTTATTATTAAGATTGATGTCTAATCGTATAATTCTGTCTGAAATATGTATAATATCCAGAATATATTTTTTTAGATATTTTTTTTTATAATAAAATCCACGCCATTTTTACCAGTTTTTTGTCCACTATAAGTGAATATATATTTTTCTCTTTCATTATGTGTTTTCCCTCTTTTTTAACTTCTGCTAAGCCAATTATGTCCCATTTAAATTTATCGAGAATTTGATCAAATTCCAATTGTCTTTCGTTAGTGACTAATGATCTCACATTGTATGTGCACACATTGAAAAAAATATCTCTTTTATTTAAGTTTCTATTTATATCTTCGTTTTTAATTATGTATTCTTCAGTTTTTCCTTTTCTGTGTTGGTTTTCATTTATAACTTTATTTAAATACATAATATCATTATCTTCCATGTTGTTGTTTATTTCCTTAAGGTTGGAAGGCATACACTACTATATACAAATATCAATAAATGGTATATAATATTAATTCTGTGGCATTGTAATCAAAATTTTGTAAATATCCTTGTATCCTATGTTTAGCTTCCGCATTGTTAAGACCATCCAGTTTGCAGAGATTATTTTTATTTATGTACACTTTATTGCACCATTTATAAAATAGTAAACACATTTAACTGTAATAAGAAATGATACAAAAGGCGGCCTTATCGCTAAGCAATCTCTTCCAGACAACCTTTGGGTAGAGAACATTGAGAAAACAAAGAAAAATAAAGGGTAGGTGGCGCACTATTATATTAGTACTATTATATATAAACAAATATATACAAAGATATATACATATATATGTATATACATATATATACATAAACAAATACATACATAAACATACACAAACTTAAAAGTACACATACAACAGGAGAGAGTGACACTGGAAGATGAAGATAGAACATAGGAAAAAATAGTTACTTAAAGGGAGAGATAATGGGCTTTAACAGAGGTTTTGAAACTAACGAGAGATTGAGCGCACCGAATAGAGGTAGGTAGTGAGTTCCACAGGCGAACTGCCTGTACAGTAAAGGAATTGGAATAAAAGGAAGTGGAGTGAGTTGGAAATTTGAGACGGAGATTATTGACACTGCGTGAAGTTTGGCCATTGGCCTCACTAAGAAACACAAATCGGTCTTTAAGATTATTGAGTTTTTTATATATAAATGGGCACGAATAATAACTAAAGCGCTTTGTGAATGCAGTATTAATGCGAGGGATGATTATTTTACGCCTTCTCTGGTCCGAAGATTTTTGCGGGAGGAGAGGAGAGGTGTGGTGCATCATTACTACTTTAAGTATATAAAGTTGACGCACTGTCAGAACAGCAGCCTCCTGATACAAGAGATAGGTGGGAAAACGAATTGGTTTCCTAAACATTACTTTTAAGACAGATCTTTGTGCCCTTTCAAGTGCAATCATATAAGATTTTGATGCACCGCCCCACGCTGTGATGCAGTACATCAATAGTGATTGAGCTATGCTTTTGTATACAAATAATAAAACATTCTTGCTCGCGCCGTTGCGCAAAAGCTTCATAACATGTATAAGTTTTCGTATACGTTTAGAAAGCACTTGTATATGAGAAGCAAAAGTCAACTTTTGATCCAAGATTAATCCCAAATATTTCACTTCATCAACCCTATCAAGGAAATCACAACTGCACATTTTGTTATCATCACATGAATATCTATGGATAATCAAGGATAATGACGTAGGGGGACTAGAAGCTTTGGTGTTGTGAAAACAAACATACTTAGATTTTGCATACTTTGATTTGTGTTTAAAGTAAGTAGGATTGCTCCCAACCAATTTGATACAATCTTCATGGCCGAGTTAGCTGCAGAAAATACAGAAATCCAATTTTCTTGTGTGCAAATTATTGCAGCGTCATCAGCATAACAGATTACTTGGACGTTGTTATCATCATCAAATAGATGGCAGAGGTCATTACTATGATTGATATGATTGATTGATATGATTATGTAATATGATGATAACTCTGTAATTAGTAACTAAAAATATGTACAAAAAATAATAACCATATATAAAAAACACATATATCGCTGAATGTGTTGCTAAGCGCAAATCTCGAGAACAGCTGAACTGATTTCGCTAACTCTTTTTTAGAATATTCCTTGAAGTACGAAGATGGCTGAAAACGTCTAAAATAATACTTTTTTATACTCCCAAACAAACGTTTCGTAATAATACTTAAAAGTGAATTTGAACTGTAATACGATACCATAAAGTTCAAGTGTTAGTGGAGAGGGAACCTCTCTGAAGGCAAAACAATTGAGTGACGTTAGTATCGCATATATTTAGATGTCAATATTTATCAATATTCATACAATGGTAACATTAGTCAAACACAAATTGTCTGTGGTTAGCTAGTTATGAATAAATATATATGAACATAGAATGACCGTAATACATATAAGTAATTCAACTATCGAGTGTACTGTATAATATTTTTGTTTGAACTTTAAGGGTTAGGCTAAAGAAATGTCTGTATAAAGTGTAATGTAAAGTAGAAGACTACGTACACTTACCAATGGAATAGAAATTCTCTTATGAGAGTGATCAATATTAGTTTGGTTTATTAATATTTTATTCAACCTGAAAAACAAGACTATTGTCAGTTGTGTAATTGTGTGCTTTTGAGGCTGCATATCAATATGACACTAAGGAAACCTTATGGTGCGACTTTATCCGCCCGGCACCTACTAATGCTGTCAATTTTAAATTTGAAATAGTTTTAGATCGTAGATTATTTAGATAGAATGATAGAATGTGTAAAAATTGGGTCAAGTTTTTCACACAATTTTGCGTGACCAACAGTTATGAGTGATTCCTTTAAAACTTCTATATATATTTTGTCTCATAAATTATGCATCTTTTTAATGCGTAAACATTAATTTTAATTTTTAAATAACAAGTCAAAATACATTGAATGCGTAAGTGTATAAAACACTGACAAAAAAGCGAGACTAATTTGACAAAATGACCCGTTTTTGAAACGATGCTCTAACTATATATATATATATATATATATATATATATATATATATATATATATATATATATATATATATATATATATATATATATATATATATATATAACTATAACCTAAATTTTAGGCCTACATATTATTATAACAGAAATTTTTGAGAAATATTTTGAAGCCGCGACCCACGCGCCCACTATTACCACTTCAAGCGGTGTCGAACCTTTAAGTCTTAGGAGAGATTTTGCCTCACTTTGCGTGTTCTACCGCTTGTACAATGGATTGTGCTCAGAGGAATTGTTCAATATGATGCCCACAGCCACTTTCTACCATCGTACGGCTTGTCATCGACAGGGAGTTCATCCTCATGTCCTAAAGTCTCAATGCTCGCGTACTGCGCGGTTTCAGAGATGTTTCCTCCCACGAGCACTAAGGTTGTGGAATGAGCTCCCTGCCGAGGTTTTCCCAAGAGACTACGGCATGAGGTTTTTCAAAAGGGGGGTAAAAAGGTTTCTTCAGGGTCGGCAACGCATGCGTAATACCTCTGGTATTGCAGGTGTTCATAGGCTACGGTAACCACTTAACATCAGGTGGGCCGTATGCTTGTTTGCCACCTCAGTGGTATAAAAAGAAAAAAACATTCAATTTATTCGTAACAATATTGCATCGTGTTGAAATTTTTTTATAAGTTATAAGAAGGGGGCGGGGAAATTAAGGAGTTGTTAGTGATGGGGTCTAACGGTCTCATTGCTAGAACATACCTCATTAGATAGATCTCCACGCGGCTCTACCGTAACGCATCCTAGTTATTTTTTGATAAATCCATCACAAGAAACCGGCTGACCTGCTTCATCTTCATCTATTATCCCTCACTGGTGACCCGCCAGTGTATACCGATAGCGCGTGCGGCATTACCATTCCATTTATATCCATTATAAAAGAAATCATTTACCATCCGACGGACTGTATGCTTTAAAATGTCTTGCAAATTAAAACACTATTAGAACAATGTCACTTACCATGCATAGTTAATATAAAAATCAGAAAAATCAATTACGATATTAGCATTCTCTCCTTCCAAGTAATAACATGTAAAATTATAGTTGGTCGAATTAGGATTGATGGTAAAGTATATATTACGATCTGTAAAGAAATAAAAAAAAGAAAGGAAATTAAAAAAAAGGCGCTAAAATGGTACCGTTTATTCCCATCCTATCAGCCTTTAACTGTTCACGGCTGAACATAAGCCTCCTCCCTTGGGGGGTTTTGCCAGTAGTTGCCATGCTTGGCAGGCGGATTGGTAACCGCAGTTAGGCTTTGGAGATGTTTTACGAGAGACACTGTTGCCCCCCCTCGCCTCCCCATAGTCGCCTCTGACGACACTCACGGGAAAGGAAGGGCTGGCTTATTCTATGCCGAGACCACACCGTTCATTCGTTCGTCAGTAATGTTCATAAATGTTTGTAAATGAATAAATAATTAGGGCATCGTTCATCTGTACGGTGAAATCCCATATCTTTAAAAATTAATTATTAAATGGAAAAATATGCGAAACGATTTAGTTTTAATTAATATGAATCAATTCTCGTTTATATCTATAATTTACGATTGTGTTCCACAAAAACAAAAACTAATTTCAGTTGTAACAAAATCAGTTTTAACCTCAAAATTAAACTCCTGAACCGATTTCGATAAACGTTATATAGCACTAATTTAGAAGTTTGAAATTGACTTGGTTTAAAATTGACGGAGTCATGAATATAAAAAGTATAACCGAATCGAGAACCTCTCCCTTTTCTGACGTCATTGTCTGGCTTCAGTGATAACATACGGAATAGTGTTTGCAGCCACTCAAGTGTTCGTTTATTGGTTCCACCTTACTATAATGTTTACTTTGTTCCACTTATTAGTAATTATTATTATTTAATATTACAGTATTATAATATAATAATTATTATTATATTGTTATGTCACTGTCATTTATATTGAGAAATTAGTCCAAAAGAAAAGGACAAAACACAACATCGCCTTCCATCAGGTAAGATCGTGATCAATCACGGGACCCTTCAATAGTAAAAACATCAGATCAATAGCTACAATAGTTTAATGAGAGATTTTACATTTTTACGAATAAGAGTGTAAGTTTTAATTAAACGTTTTAATAAGTGATTGTATCATGATGTTTAAGATTAGCTTTTATCTGCAACTACCTTCGTCTGACTGAAATATCACTGACCAGGAACAAAATTAACCTAGGTCCTTCTCACCTATATAGTACATGTACCTATACCAAATTTCATCGTACGCCAAATGGTAACAAAATCACTTTCACACTTATAAAAAAAGGATCCACGAACCACTACATTTTTAAGGTGTCTACGAAACATGTCGTTTGTGACATATCTAAGTAAGATTTGTGTTCAAAATTGATATCTCTTTCTATAAGAGCAATAATTATACTTGTATACAGCCATGAATATTACGTACCTGCATTGGTGCAACGATAAAAGTAAGCCAAAATAAGTAATATGAATACTGTGGTTTATCATTTTAATGATCACGCCCTGAGTAATTATTTCTATAAACAGTACAATGACAATATCTCTGTGGTTACCATGCTCCTGAGTTGTTACTGTTATATATTATAACGTGACTTGTGGATATTGAACACAGTTTTCTATATCGATACTATTGTATCCATAATGCCATTTAAGCCGGTAGGACAAACATTTTGTTTTATGCGCATTATACTGGATTCATTACAATGAAATGTCTTAACTATTAAGATTTTGTCTAAGATTTCATTCAACAAAAAAGGCTTAAAATTTCGCAAAATAACTACGACATTCACAGGGAAGTAAACTTTATAGACTGCAATGAATAATTAAAATCGGTACACAATTATTGATTTAAGTATCGCATAATGTTTCCAGATTAAATGCGTATATATATATATATATATATATATATATATATATATATATATATATATATATATATATAATAAGCTAAGAACGAGCGACATTTGAAACATTCATGTATGTAGGAGCAAATTGACCGACCTTTTCGCATACACATTCCAAGTCCATGAAGGTCATTGAAGAAGCTCCTTAAGGGGAAAGGAGATTGTTTTTTCTCAAAATAAATAAATAAATGAAAGTATCGAATTCGAAAGTGTTGAATTCGAACTCTTCAGTATTGACCATGAATAAAACGCGGAATAGCGGCGCCCAATCACTGGTAATACCAATCTTTAGTCTATTAAAATTTTAATAACGACTTGTGTAACAGCCGCTCATGGATAAGGATTACGAATTGATCCCGAAACTAGTCGAGTTTTCTCTATCTAATTACATGTTAAGTTATACCGGTAGTTATTATATTAAAATATACAAATAAATAAAAGTTTTCAACAGCTGGACAGCGAAGTTTATATTTTTTGTCGTTTATCAACCCACTATCTAATGTGTCTATGAAACGTCTCGTTCGGCGGTATGCTTTGCGACGATGGGAGTCGCCGTTTGTACAGCAGAATATACTTGTTGCTGTCAAGTACAATATGTTATGAAATAAAAAAAATCCGACTTCTATATCATATATTTTCTGGCGAAATCAGTCATTTTGATTTAAAAACAACTGAACCGTTTTTAATAAAACGTCTATTATATCAGACGGAATTAAAAGTAATACAATGGAATTGAGAGACTTCCTCCTTTTTTGAAGTCGGTTGGAAAAGCGACCACAATAGCCTCAGCAATTGGTGAAAAACTATATATAAGAAATAAACAAACGGAAATTTGTTTATGGCTCTTTATTAAATATCCCAAAGAAACACTGTAGTATGGTCGCTTTAATTTATAAATAATAATTTACAGGATAAATGTTGTTTGGTAGCTAGTTATCTTCATAGCGGTTTTTAGAACTGTAATCGTTTGTCATTGTTATTACATTTGAATGTTCATAATCAACATTTTTACTTGAATTTCATCATCAACATCATCATCACCATACCAGAGGGTGACTTTGTACAAAAGTCGTTTGCTTGGGTACCTCTGTCCCATTCGTGTTTCAACCGTAAAGCAGTTGTGTTTGCATGGCTGTGTGTCGGTTTGAAGGGTGGGATATGGCGTGAATTTACAGGATACAGAGAAATAACATCAGAGTCCTCAGGAATGGATACGAATGGGAGGTATCATGGGCGAAATAGTATACTCTGTTATGTCCATGGTACTTTTTTTTTAACGTCTGGAAAATGCTTTATGCAGACCCATACACCTTGTGGGAGGTGAATGAGTACTGTGAGAATCCCCCCGTAAGGTGGGGGTGTACCCACCAAAAATCAGACGATATACCCTCGAGGTGCCATAAGTCGGAGACATGGGTTCGCTTTCGCACTCACCACATCTCCGACGGTAAGGACCCGTCCCATGATGGTAAGAGCAGATCTCCTCTCTCAAGATAGGGTGGATGGCGTGCTCACCCTACCACTCGGGGGATGCGTCGGTATATTAGCACATCCCCCAGGACCATTGGGACAATACCTTCCCACAGGTATCACACCGGCCCCAGTGGGGAAAGAGGAGGGGCAGAACTGGGCACGCCCCTTCTTCTGCGTCTGACTCGTCTGCGGCGGATTGACGGTGCGAGAGTGGCACTCTCCCGCTCCCTTTCCGCCGCCTCCTTCTGCGACACGACGGCATCGCAGAAGACGAGCATCGCTTCCCACGATCTCTCACTGCTCACCATCCGCCGAACTACGGCGGGCAGCGAGAGATCGGTCCCCACTACCGCGGACAAGCACGACGCTCATCGGCATACGCTGGGCACTCCTCCAGCGTATGATCCGCCGTATCCTGGTCCGCTCCACAGGCATGGCACTCCTCCGTCGGCTCCCTGCGCGCGACATGAATATCCATGGTCCACTGTGACGCTCATAGACGCCTTTATACCCTGTAACTTCACGGCCATCTCCTCACTCTTCAAACCGTGCAAGTAAAGTTGCTTCACAGTAAAAACACGAGTAGGATAAAAGCACCCAAACATACTACTATACGAGTATACAGGTATAAGCCTACGATTACTTATAAGCTTGAAGCGGTTATCTGTGGCAGTCGCTTAGTGTCATACCTCCTAACCGGGCGCTCCGCTTTCAGTAATTAACGATCTCCGTGATGTAGTGATAGGCCTGTTTCTTTATGTAACTAAGAATCCGGTTTCAACTCAGGAGTGGGCTCATTCAGTAGTATTCAATAATTTAATTATACTGTATTTATTTTTTTAATCTAGTCATGTGTCTTGTGACAGTTACGTGTATACGCTATTGAATAAAATAAATATATACAATTAATTGTTTTTAAACGCAGAGGGCAAAAAAGCATGCAACTCACCTGATGGTAAGTGCCTACTGTCGCCCCTGGAATTCATAGTGCTGAAATCATGGTGTATTTATCACGATGAGTTAACTTGCGTTTTCATTCTCACCTATCATTCACTGGTGTATACCATTGGCGCAGGCGAGGTTGCCACTCCATTGTCACCCATTAAAAAAGACTACCGCCACCTATGAGCACCCGCAACATTGTTGTAGGCATGCTGCCGGCCTTTGAAAAAGGAATATGCTCTTTTCTTAACGTAACCTTCAAGATGTCGTCAAGGTGTCGATGTCGTATCGCTTATCGGAAATACTGCTGCTGGAAGTTGATTCCGAAGTGGTAGTGCGTGGAAGAAAATGCCTTGAAAAACGCACGGTAAAGGACCGCCACTCGTCCAGATTGTTGGGATGGAACTTTAATTTGTGGCGAATTGAACGGTGGTAAAAACCAGCAGCAGGTATCAATTCGAATAATTTCAATTTAATATTAATTTTATTGGCTAGGTAATTTGTTCTTTATGATAGCACGACATGTGACCATGCCCTATTAAGAGAACATAGGGACAGCATGGTCCATGAATACGATCATCCGAAAAGAGAACTGTCGTTCTATTCTCAACGGTTGGCCGTACTGTGCCGGCTCACTCACTCTTTTCCACGCTACGTTTGAAGGACCCGAGGTTATAGGACGAAGGGGACAAGTCACGGGAAAGGCCATTGCACATTATTACGGTAGAGTTCGGATTATTAAATTGAAACTATTATTAACAACAATAATATTTATTTTCACCATGTTATTATAATCACAGAGAATCAATTATTATATATCTTATGAAAATAATTATTCATAAATGATTACAAAATATAATAATTATTTATTATTTAAAATCATAAAAATACTGTCATTTTATGCTATAACATTAAATCATTATTGTAGTTGTGATGATTATGTGATTTCTTCTAAGAACGACGCTATCTTAAACTCCGAACTAGCTTTTGCCCGTAATTTCGGAAGGAGGTTACTATAAATTGGAATTTATAAAACTTACACCAAATTTTACTAAATTCGACCACAACACAGTTATGTTAACTGTGTGAACCGTATTCATTCTGGCGTAATAGTTTTTGCGTTATGCTGGAACAAACATACCTACAGGCGGATAGAGAGAAATTTTTCATCGTATCAATTTTTCTTATATAGATCCTATGTACAGACATAGTTCAGTTACAATATTATTATATTGTATACTATATAGATACGGAGTCTCAATTGACAATTAACTTCAACAGAATTGTGCTGATGTTTTTTTTTCTACTTGAGTTTGAACCTATATCATGTTATTGTTAACGTTTGTAATCTTTTTTATGCAACTTAGAATGGCAAACAAGCTGACGGTCCTCCTGACGGAAAGTGGTAACCGTCGCATAGAGATATGAGCAGTGCCATGGACATAACAGGGCATACTGTTTCGCCCATGATAACGCCCATGCGTTGTCATGGGCGAAACAGTATACCCTGACTAAGATGTGATGCCTCCGTACCTAGATCCCACCCTTCAAACCGAAACAGAGCCTTGCAAACGCAATTGCTTCACGACAGAAACTCAAATGGGACAAAGTTACTCAAGTAAACGACTTTTGTACAGTCTTCTTCTGGTGTAACGTAATCTATTTAATATAGAATGTACATTTTCTTTTGTTTTTTCCTTGAAATAATTAACAGTACTAGATGAAATGATATTAACTGATAGATAAGACCTTGTTTAATTTATTCCACTATGAATTTAATGATAATGTAAACAAGTGAATAATTAACGCATTCATAAGTCTAGTGATGTCCAATAATAGAACAAACTTAGAATCAATCGATTGAATGTTTCCATTTGTTATTAATTTAATTTAAGAATGTTTTTGTGATAATGGAGTCGATTTTGAAGCGTCAGTACTTTAAACCTACCTCTAAAATGAAAATGTCAATTTAATATTATAGAGTACGGAGTAAGGACCAATATGAGATTGTTTTCTAATAGAATTAAGTTAAAATTATTATAATTTCAAATTATAATAGTCCATAAAATAGTAAATTGGTGAAATAATCAAATTAAAATATTAGGTGAAGTCATAACTTTACAGAAATGGTGCTTCAGAATCGACCCCGTTGTCAACAAAATTTGGTTACATTTACATGAAACATTTTATTATTCCTTGATTTTAGATTTACATTAAGTTCTATTGAATGAGACTATTCGTACTCGTTAGTACTGTTAGGATCTCTTTCATATTTGCTTACAGATAAAACAATACAATGTTAAATTTTGCCTTAATAACTTTATCACTTATTATGTAAAAATTTTATAAGTAATTTTGCAAATGAATTAAATTAACACAACCATAATAATATACAGGAAAAGTTCTTTAGTCACTAAGAGTTTGCAATATTTTATACCATCTTGTCAAATGCGAACCGCAACAAGAAATTATTGCTGTCTCAATCAAATTGCTTACAATAGAGCTAGACAGACATGTGGGTTTGCGTAGATAGTGTAAAACCGGTACAAAAAATATTATTATGAAACACGATTTGTTAATCTGATCTTGGCATAAATAGGTAGTAACTATTATACACTAGGGGTGGTTAATATATAACAATACCTGTATATTTTAGTTATAATATCTATATATTGGCACAATAATGGACGATATCGAGATGCGTGATTACCTATTTTTTCTTTATCAGCGTTTAGAGGAACCCAATGACTATACTAGTGGCTAGATCTTAGAATAGGCTACTTCATAAAGTAGTCGACCATTCCATGAAATGATTGTATTGCACGATATGGCCAGTTAAAGTTACTACTCCATCGGGGCTCCGATGATTTTAACACTGTCAAATTTAAAAGAGATACTGCAATTTTATTGGTGATGCAATAAGATTTCCTTATCCGTGTTCGTTGAGGAAAAATGATTTATGATAATTATGTAATTATAAATTTATATTATTTTTGGATAGAATTTTTTCTGGGACATATAAAAAAGGAGAAGAGACTAAAGTTAATAGATACTCGACGTTAACAGAGCGACAAATATTATTAGAGAAAATATTAGTTGGGAAAACTAAGTAGATTGTGTTGAATAGTTTCTTCGTTTTGTTCACACTCACATAGGGAGCGGAGTTATATTCTTAATTTGACCAAAAACACATTCCACGTTTAGCCATAACATAAATGTAAGGTTTCTTTGGCTCTCGTAAAATTCAACACAGCAACAAGTCGCAAAGATTTTTCACTTCACTTTTACCTTCATTTGGCACATTATTGTTAGCATTTTTTTTATCAGAATGATGCATCAAAAGAACTGAACAATATCAGTGCCTTTTTACATATTATTATATAATTTAATGTAATAACTACCGGTTGAACGTACGCGTGTTTTAGTCGAGGAAACACATCACATCTGCAGCTGATAATCAAGGGTCTCGGTTGGTCCCGAATCTAGTCGAACTTTTTCGACTAAAACTCATGCAAGTCAATCCAGTAGTATTAAATTGAAATATACCTCTAACAGTATAATGTGACTATTTTACGATATGATCACAAATATTTGACAATATCATGAAGTAGCCGCGCATTATCATTACCTATCGTCATTCGCTGACTATTCATTGATCTGGCCAGATTGTATCATGACATGGGCAGCAGATGTTTTCCATATCACGAAATACAATCATTTTATATAATCTTAAAACGAAATGATCATTCTAAGATTTGAATACGATATATAGATATAGGAACGGTATCCGTATTACCTGTGCCTATTATAAACCATGATTAGTTACCGTTATTCCATTGTTGACATATATTTTAAATACACTATCGTCACTCATTACAGTCCTGTAGTGACCAAGACGTGGTGCAATCCACGTCGAAACGTCGCCAATAAAAATCATGTACGTAGGTAGTGCTTTATTTGAAATCACGTCGAAGTGCAGATAGTGTATTTGAAATAAACAAAGCCAATTTGAATAATGACTTGTTAATAAGCATGGGGAATATGGATATCGTTCTTATAATCTATATATCTATATATTGGGTGCCTTTGGAAACCTGATGGCGGACAAAGGTCATTACCGGTCGTGTATCTATTTTCGAATATATTAAAAGTCTATTATCCAATATTATATTTGGATATCAGTATTTACATATTCGTATATGGTAACAGTATATAGATATTGTAATTAAAATATATAGATATTGCTGTATATTACCCACCTCTATTCGTTAATGTGTTACCGATATAAAATAATACCTTTATGAACCATGATTGGTTAGTGTGACGTAGGCATAAATAAGTAATAAATAACCATGATTGGTTACCGTTATCGTGCTACAGTTAAACTTAATCCTGGTATAAATAATGGCAATTTGAACCACGAATGGTTAATGTAATGTCCATAACAAAATAAAAATTCTATGAACCATGAATCGTTGACGTGATCCTGGTATAGGTTTTTATATCCTTATGCAATACAAGTGATTCATACAAATGACCTTTTTGCAGTAATTACCAGATTACCTAATTCCAATAGACTACACAATGACAAAATAAGAGGTATCCTGACGCAACCAAAAGATTCCCCAACATGACGGGGAAGCCTATTTTGAGGAACTGCATGAACGTAAACCGGTAGCCATGTTGCTCGGCGACTCCTGCGCACACCACATTTGCGCTTGCGCCGATTAATGTTCCGTTGCCTGAAATATAATTTATATATTAAGACATTTATATATTTACCATGTGGTCTCGGTACAGAATGGGCTACCTTCTTCCTTTGCCGTGTGTGTCGATGTGATGTGATGTGAAAAGGATCGTTTATCATCAAAATTCAAAAAAAATTCAAAATTCAAAAATCATTTATTCATGTAGGACATTTTAGCCGCTTATGAACGTCAAATTTTTACATTATAATTTTATATTTTCCCTACCGTCCAGTTCGGTATATAGATCCAATTGAGAAGAACTGGCAAGAAATCACATCACATCATTGTTTTCATCATCACATAAGCCTTTTACTATCTACTGCTGAACATAGGTTTCCCCCTAAGGAGGAGGACAACCCCCCCGGTTGCTAGTATTTGCCACGTTTGATAGACGGGTTAAAAACTGCAGCTAGGCTTTGGTGATATTTTAAGAGGGAGTCCCTCTGAAAGTGTTGCGCATCCGTCGATCATTAAGTTTCCTTGACAAAGACACCTATGGGAAAGGAAGGTCAATTGTATTTTGAGTCCACACGGCAACGATACCGAACGATCTGTGAATATGAACACATATCACTAGTAAAACATTTTGTATACTGTACCTCCAAGACAAGCCCCAAAGCTTAACGCCCAGGCCAATGGCGCTAGCGGCAAACCCAAACCCTTAGGGTCTGCCAACGCAACGGTTACTCTCACCATCATCGTGGTTAGTGGTATATTATCCACAAAGGCTGATGCTATTCCTGATACCTGTAATGTTAATATTATTTAATGGCAAATAAGATGAAGGCTGGGATGGAAAGTGGTAACCGTCGTCTTTACGGGGGAAAGGGATTGTTAGTAATGGGGTCAAATAGCCCCATTACTAGCAATATACCTTGTCAGATTGACCTCCACGTGGTTCCCCTTGGAAACCATCGTGACTAATATATCTTTAAATTCGTCACGTTGGGCTAACTGACCTCCCTTTTATCCTCACCAATCATCTGTCACTGGTGCTCCGCCAGTGTATACCGTTAGTGCGGGTGGAGTTACCATTCCACAATCATCCATGACAAAAAAGCCCACCTGATGGGAACTACTAACCGTCACCTTTAGACTAGAACAACATAAAATACATTATCATTTGTGAAGATTATGGTGTTATGGCTACCTGCCTTGTAATTTTAGCGCCTTATATTGTTCTAATATTCATATTACTATGTTTTATTACCTTTTCTTTATTTTTCAATACCCCTATCAGGTGGGCCGGTGGCGGTTTGTCATCCCAAGTTGCTTAAAAAAAGAATAACTTACCCATAGCACCAACATAATGGCTACCGCGAGTTGGGCCTCTTCCCCTACTTTCAATATGAGTGATTCTGTTATTTTGCCTATCCATGCTATAAGTCCCAACTTCGTAAGTACCTGAAATATATACTGAGGTTAATAGTTAAGCAATGTACCTACTAACAGTTAATGTCTTTGTTTATTTATTTACTTTTGCACACATTAAAATACAATTTACATAAAGGATTTGGTGCCTGATGGCATTCTCTACCAGTCAACCGTTACGCTAAACAGAGAGAATAAATGGCGGTGCATTGGTACTAAAAAAATCAATTTGTAAATTTAATAAATATTTTGATAACAATATTAATACATTTAAGGATAAATGAACATACACATACATGTAGAATAATATACCTATATTTTTTTTATATCATCCTTAGATTATATAGCTATATATAGTCTATCTATATAGATTTTTAGATTATAGATTAAATAAGTTCCTCCCCCCCCCCACTCCCCATAATTATTCGCTAAAATGAGTCTTTTTTTAATGGATGAAAATGGTAACTGCTTGCTCCATCAGTATACGCTGGCGAGGCATCAGTGACGGATGATAAGTGAGGATGAAGGCAGGCTAATTGACCCAAGTTGACGAATTCGACTAGAATTAAGCATGGATTCTGTGGCGAATCACGTAGAGGTTGACCTAATAAGATATATTGCTAGCAATGGGGCTATTAGACCCCATTATTGACAATTCCTTTCCTCGCTGCTAAAAACAGGTTATTTTTTTATCCATATGTGCTTAAATAGGGATACCAGAATGTGTAGATATCAGATGTTTGAATGTTTATTACTCAATAACGCTTAAATTGCCGAAAGGATATAAATTAAATTTGATAAAAGGATAGGCTATATCCCAACACATACGATAGTTTATATTCCACGTAAGCCAAGCTACAGAATAGGGTTATTATTATAAATGTGAAATTGAGTTTGTTTGTTTGTTACCGCTTGCTTTTTTAACGGCTCTACGCGGTCCTGGAAACCATTGTGGTAAATTTTTGTTGAATTCATCACGATGGGTTAATTGACCTGTTCTCAACCTCACTGGTGCTCCGCCAGTGTATACCGATAGGGCAGGGTTACTATACCATTTCCACTTATTATAAAAAAAAAAAATCAGCATGAAATTTAGTATATATGTACATACTATTTGGGATGGAGAAGGTTGCATAGGCTACTTTATAGTTTTTAGTTTAGACAGTTAATATACATCCCGATCACGAAGACGAAGTTGCAGGCAAAGTTAATAGAATACCTCCATCAAAACAAACAAAGCAGCAAAGAACAGAAGTGTGGACCACTCGACACGCGCCAGTATGGGTTCCAGGTCTTCCTTCTCAGCCAGGAGTAGCAGGAGTAACGCGCCAAGAAGCGCTGTCCAACCCAGGGATAATCGTTCTGGAATAAAATTGACCTGTTTAGTAGGGGGTAATATATAGTCATATCTATATTTTTTTTATAGGTGAAAATGGTATGGTATCCCCGCCTGCGCTAACGGGATACGTTTGCGGGGCAGCAGTGGAGGGTGATCGATGAGAATGAAAACAGGCCAGTTAGCCCATCACAATGAATTTATCAGGAATTAACCATGACAGTTTCCAGGGAGAACCGCGAGGAGGTCGACCTGGTTGGGTATATTGTTAGCAATGGGATTCTCAGTCTTCCTTACTAACAATCCTTTTCCCCTCCTATCTATATATTATAGGTATATGTATATATTGGCCCAATAACGAATATATAAAATATCATTTATCCAATAAACAATATCGACATATAGTAGTCGATAAAAATGTAGATGAGTTATATTTTAAACCATCAATATCCGGTGGAATTCAATATATAGATAGAGCGGTACACATATTAAATATGACTACTGTTTAGGGATATTGTTTCAAATTATAACAAAAATCATTTAACATTTTAGCCGCTTATGAACGGTTTATAGTTCGGTATATACATTTTTATAGTATAAACAACAACGGTTTATACTATACATTTTTAATATCGGCAACAGACTGAAAACTATAGCTGTATTATAGTAGATATAAATCTTATTTATTATTATAATACAATTAAATTATAAATACACAGGACTACAACATGGAGTTCTTCAAAAAAGGGGTAGAGAGGTTTCTTCAGGGTCGGCAATAATATATGTTATATATATATATATATATATATATATATATATATATATATATATATATATATATATATATATATATATATATATATATATATATATATATACATTATCGCATGTATTATAACTCCATATGCATTTAAAGAATGTTAGAATTTTCATCGTCCCTCCGATCAAATTGTTTATAATTACTTCTCACAATCCAAAGGTTATCTGGAATAGATCCCTCTTAGCGATAAGGCCGCCCATTATATATTTATCTATCTACATTAACTAATATTATGGAATATCAGATTTTTCTATTGACTCATACTTACGTAATTCAGGTATCGCGTGCAAAAAGAACACAATGACGACAAACGCAACGCTGATTGTGGACTTCACCAGGAGTTGTTTGTCTCTGATGTGATACTGGACATGAAAATAGAAGATACTATTATATTATATTAGCTCCCAGCTCAGCTTAGCATGGATAAATAGAATTTTCGAAAGTAATATATATTTGAAGTCTATAGATACTCGCTGGTTATGTAGATTTTTAAAAATATCTTTCACTTACAGCTTGAACAATTTTTTAAATCAATTGAGTATATTTTAAGTTTATCGAATATAAACAAACAAACAAACAAATCTTTCATATTTGTAATATTAGTATAGATAATTCATTGATTAGTTGATTAGAATTATTTTGTTTATTTTGTTTAATTCCGCTAACATTAGTATGCGTGCGACTGCCAACACTCTAATTAAAATTAAATCGCATAATTTTAGTTAGTGTGTTGACAGTCGCACGCATACTAATGTTAGCGGAATTAAACAAAATAATTCTAATCAACTAACCAGTGATATGAATTTCCACAAGGTAACACTTACTTCAGTAAAAAATATATATTTTACTGTTCGTGATGTAACTTCTTGATGGAACTTTATCATTTATATAATACTCGTACTTAATTAAAATATTTTAAAATGAAGATGAAGTTTTGCCACTGGTTGCATGTATAAGTAAAAACAAAAATAGATATTATTTTTTTCTTTTAAACAAAAACGAAACAATATATTATATAAATGACAGAGTTCTGAGATAACAAACATGAAAAAAATATAATAACCAAATCGAGAACTTCTATGTTATTTTATGTAGTAATAAAAAAATCGGTTATGAAAAGATCTTGTTTTTAAACGCAAATGTAAAAGCTATTTATAAGTTACATATATATTCAATATATGTTGCTTAATTATGTATATATAATAACTCAAACTGTATGTTTTCCAAATAATAAATATAATCTTTTGGTTTTTTTTAAAGCGAAGCAATAAACTAAGTTGTAAATTTTCAACCGATTTCAACTTAATGATCGAGGTATGATCAGCAGCGTTTCTCTTCAAACAACATTAAAAGCCTAACTGCAGATGCCAACCAGCCTGCTAAACGAGGCAACTACAAGTAACGGCCGATATGACGATAAGAGGGTAAGGGGTTGTTAGTAATGCGTATCAGTCCCATTGCTAGCAATATACCGCGTCAGGTCGACCTTCACGTGGTCCTCCCTGGAAACCATCGTGCTGAATTTCAGGTGTATTTATCACGATGGGTTAACTAGCCTGTTTTTTGATTCTCACCTTACATCCCTCACTAGTGGCTTGCCAGCGTATACTGTTAGCGCAAGCGGGGTTACCATTCCATTATCATCCATTAAAAAAATATATGATGAAGTAGGTACAAATAAAGTTATTGTGTATTTAAACAAATAGATAATACTGACTTTTTGTTTCATTTGTGCCAGCGTAGAGTTAAATTTAGGGTCTGACTTAGATATACCCTTGCCACATTCTCGTTTCGCCAATACAGCTTTCAATTTTTTGACCTGAAAATTATAAGCAATTAAAGTTAATATTTTTAAATGAATGTTTTTACGTATACCATATACAATTCGCCATGTGGTCTCGGCATAGAATGGGCCACACTTTCCGTTCGTGGGTATCGTAAGAGACGACTAAGGGAATTTAATGCTAGAGGGACGGACGGACGGAGGGACAACGAAATTATCCTATAAGGATTCCGTTTCTCCTCTGGAGGTACGGAACCCTTAAAATAAGTCATTTAAATTTAAGCATTTTAAAATGTGTATATATGTAATTTTATGTGCCAAATAAATGTATTGATTTGTTACCTTACACGTTTATTTATTTATTTTCATTTTACACCTTCATTTTTAATAAGTCACATCTTTTGTTTAAGTTTAAACAGATTAAGACATCATAACATGTGTTCAACACCTGTCTATCGCAAGTTTAACTTATTTTGTGGTAAGGCGATATTTTGAAAAAATAAAAAGCGGTAGTGACTGTCTCTGCGCATGATAATATGCATATTAATATTCAAAGTTGTATTCAAATAAACACCTTTTTCTCTAGAGCACTCCTGACCAGGTCTTCATCTCTGGAGTACGAGGACAGTGATGCCGCAGCGCGTCGCCATACAGCTATTTCTTGCCGCAGTTCTGAAGACAATTTGTACAAGGTGAATGCGCAATAGTCAGTATCCTGCGAATATAGTGTTCTACTAGCGAAAATAAATATTTTCACCAAAGAAACAGAATTATAGGACAAAACCGACAAAAAATGTTGAGCTTTGCATAGTAACACATGGTCGAGATGGTGGATGGTCGAGCAATGTCTTTCCTAAAACATAATCCAAGTTTAACTGCTCTTGTCAACTCACTTGCCAAGTGAGGCAACTACGGTCAAACAAAATAGCCTATATCCTTTTCCATTTCATTACAGTACATGTATACAAAATTTCATAATGAAACAAACTCACTTTTACATTTTTTTTATATTTTATTTTATTTATTTCTTATTGCATTCCATAATATAATTAGTAGATAACATTTTAACTTGAATTATGGATCCTGTTGGGCGCAGCAAGTACGAGAGAGGAGGACAACACTTTTTTTCACTTTAGAAATAGTCTAAGGATCTGTTACAATATTATCCAGTCATTGAAATTGTATCACGATAGATACATTTATAATATTAGTAAGGATTTACATATTATTTATTTAAGATATTTCGAAAATATGTTTTATTAATTGGAAACGCACCTTGTATATCAGTTGGCACGCTGTGGCGCAGTTTGTTCATGTCTCTAAACATGAACCTGAGCTGTAGGTAAGTCTGTACGCATACCAACAGTATGCCAACGCCCATATGAAGGGTGAAGGTTGCAAAGTTTATGTTCTGAAACAACAAAGCATTGGCATTGGTTACCAAATACATATTAAACACTTTCCAAATAAGTTTACAGGGGGGAGGGAAGGGATTAGTAACGCGGACACGGATTGTGGATTAGCAATATTCCATATCAGGTCGACTTCTATGCGGTTCCTATAGAGAAGGAGAGGAAGAAAAAAGTACAAAAGTCGATTGCTTGGGTACCTTTGTCCCATTCGTGTTTCAACCGTGAAGCAGCTGTGTTTGCATGGCTGTGTTTCGGTTTGAAGGGTGGGATATGGCGTGAATTTACTGGGTATAGAGGAATAACACCTGAGTTCTCAGGAATGGCAACGCATGGGCGAAACAGTATACTCTGTTATGTGCATGGTACTGCTCATGTCTATAGGCGACGGTTACCACTTTCCATCAGGTGGATCGTCAGTTTGTTTGCCATTCTAAGTTGTATAAAAAAAAAAGAATCCTGATAGTGCCTGATAAATTTGCCACGACTGGCCAACTGACCTGCTTTCATCCTCACCTATCCCTCACTGATTGATTGTTGAAATGAAATGAGATTTATTCGTAAAAAACATAACTGTAGTTTCTTAACTAATATTAATATTATAGTTTTATAAGGATACAGTAATTATGGTTTTAAAACTGGGCTCCTAAATAGGTTATTATAATAACCTGTGTTAAGGGGTTAGTTGTTAGTAGTATACATCGATAGCACAGGCGGGGTTGCCAACCATTTTCCACCTTTAAACAAACGAGTACAGGTTGTTAATTAGCAATTTAGCAAATTAACAATTTATAATGAATGCTATGCTAACAAACCTATAATTCAAATTTATTTTTTTACTGAAAAGTAGTGTATGCTATAAACATGTAATTGTGAAAATATATGCATCGGTATTTGTTGAACATTCGAGTTGAAACGGCTAAATGGATTTCAATGAAATTTGGATAGATTGACATGGGCAATTTATTATTTTAAGCCTATGGGGGTTTAAGTGAGTCTACCTTTTTGCTAGGGGGAAAGGAATTGTTAAATATGTGGTCTAACAGCCACATTGCTACCAATATTCCTCATCAGGTCGACTTTCATGTGGTTACTCCTGGAAACTATCGTGGTTAATTTTTGTTGAATTCAACACGATGGACCAACTGACCTGCTTCACCCTCACCTATCATCCCTCACTGGTGCCCGGCCAGTGTATACCGATAGCACAGGAGGGGTCACCATTTCATTTACACCCATTAAAAAAGTAGGCATAATGATTTGCGTAATGAGCTGCCGGTTCCGAATTTCGGTCGAGCCAATTTAAGAAACGAACTCCTCTAAAATGGCTCCGGTCTAGGTATCAGTACACCCTGAGTTGTGCCTACAACCTTATAACACAAGGTAATCTAGCTCGAGGAGCAAGCGATTAATCTGATTGTAAGGCACTCCAAAATCCAAATACATATGAATTTCAAATAGAATCGTTTAGGCAGAGAAAAATGGACAGTTATTACCTCTTGCAACACAGCCGGATGACTCGCTATGATCACATTAGGTGGATCGCCGACTGGTGTAGCAGCGCCCCCTACATTACTGAATATCACCATGGACAACAGTACTGGAACTGGGTTGAGCTGCATCACTTCACACAGTCTGCAATATTTAATCGATCAATTAATTCATTTCTATAACCAGAGGGAGACTTTGTACAAAAGTCGATTGCTTGAGTACATCTGTCCCATTTGTGTTTCAACCGTAAAGCAGTTGTGTTTGCATGGCTGTGTTTCGGTTTGAAGGGTGAATAACACTTAAGTCCTCAGGAATGGCAACGCAAGGGGGTATCATGGGCGAAACAGTATACTCTGTTATGTCGAAACAGTATACGCAGTTAGGCTTAGGTGATTTTTTAAGAAGAACGCTGCTGCCCATATCTCGAACATCAAGTTCCCTTAGTTGTCTTTACGATATCCATGGGAAGGGAAAGGTGGCCCATTCTATGCTAGGACCACACAGCAACAATACTCCATTACTACAAATTAAAAATCCCCGTATATAATAGTATACCGTATTGTTACTGGTGTCATCAGCAGAACCGTTGTCACGTTGTCAAGGAAGGTGGAGAAGAATGCGGTGAAGAAACAGAGGCAGTTGATCAGAGGCCATGTTCTGCCTCCAGTCATCTGGAATTCATGAACCAATTGTTATACAACATATCTAATCTGGATTTCAACGATTATTCTCTAAACAGTTGGCCACTGTAAGTGCTTCTTAAGGTATATTTGAAAGATGTTAAGTCAGTATGGGAGGTTCAATATTTTTTAACGTCTGATTTATGTTCAATTTTAAAACACTAAGATTCACTCTTAGCAAATCACTTTAAGAAAAGCTTATTTCGATTAAATCTTGTAGATACGAGTTGTAATGTAAAGAATCAGCCTGATTTAATTACTCATACGAACATCTTAAAAGAGAGCTTCAGAAAGCTATTCATGATGTACTGAAAAAGGTTGAAGTTACATTTTCTTTCCTTTGAGTCATAAACTTAATTTTTCATTTTTCTAATTGAACTGTCAAACCAGAGAAAGATAGCAGAACTTGCCGGCGTATCTAAGTCTGCTGTCAATAAAATAAAGGTCAATTTAGACCAGAATCGGCCACTTTCGCCCAAAAGAAAAGGCAAATGTGGCAGAAAACGTGTCACAACAACATCATTCAACTAAAATTCTATTCTAGGTAGTATATTCATTTATTATAAGTAGGTAGATATTATATTTATTTATAGTATATGTATTTATGTAATAATTTATTATGTATTTTAATATTTTATTTAACTGTATATTTGTTTATGTACTTTAAATATTAATAGTTGTAGCACTTCAGCTACCCGCTAACAACATGCTTTCTAACTGCATTGGGTTGACTGGAAGAGATCTCTGTCAGAGATAACTCCACCCTTGCTCACAATATTTATAAATGCATTAAAAATGTAATTTTCATTGCACTATATTTATTTTATATATATTTTATATATAAAATATAATATATATATATATATATTGCACTCCTCTTCTTATATATATATATATATATATATATATATATATATATATATATATATATATATATTGCACTATATTTATACATTATATATACCAGCAGAAGTCAGTATTTACTAATAATGGAAACATTAATGTGAGTTTGTTTGCCTTAATGGCATAACCAATCGCTATAAAATTTGTTATACACGAACTATATGGGAGGGAGAAATATATAAACTACTTTTTCTAGTAATCCTGGTCAGTGAACACATTTCGGTTATGCGCACAAAGTCGCGACAAAAAGTTAATATTGAATAAAGTGTACATTACCTCGAAAGCTACAACGGCTAAATAATCAAAGAGTCCAGTCTCCGCGAGTATAGCAACCAATATCATCATACTGAACAACAGCAGCAGCGTCTCGACATCTAGCCAGGAAACCAGCTCGTTCAGTGAGGGTCTGGCGCCGTTCAGTGCCAACACACCCACACCGAGGGTCGAAGATAAAAGTGCTGCAATTGTGCGATTTACGATCTGAAATCATTGACACTTGTGACTGACGATATTTCACTATTGAATATTCGGTTTGGCATTTGTTTTTTAATGGATGATAATGGAATAGTAACCCCGCTTGCGCTATCGGGGTGGTGGCGGGGCACCAGTGAAGGATGATAGGTGACAATGAAAGCAGATCAGTTAGCCCATCGTGACGAATTCCACTAGAATTATCCACGATGGTTTCCAGGGAGGACCGCGTAGAGGTCGATCTGACAGCGTGTATTGCTAGCAATAGGTCCAGACCAACAATCCCTTTCCCCCCCGGTTTGGCATATTTCATATGTAGTTGAAATATCAAATGATACGCAAAATCATAATTCACTTCATATAGAATATATTGGGCGTTTGGTCTCGGCACAGAATGGGTCACCTTTCCTTTCCCGTGGGTGTCGTAAGATGTGATGAATGAGGGAACTTAATGGGCGAGGGATGGGCAACAGCGTCCCTCTTAAAAACATCACCAAAAGTCAAACTGGGATTGCCAACCTGCTTGCCAAGCATGGCGACTACTGATAAAATCCCTTCCAATGGTAAACTGCTATAAAGAACATTCTTGTACGTTCTGCAGTCTATGGGGGAGGTCTATGTTCAGCAGTGAATAGATAATGGCTGAAATGATGATGATGATGATGATGAGACAGTTACATATAGTACTAAATGAATCCGTAGATAGTCGCTGCGTTTGGATTCATTCGTGAGTTATTGACTGCATTCGTTTATTAGTGAAATGAAATTGCAGCAAACGGCCGCCTGAACCAAAAAGAGCGAGCGAATAGGGCATAATGTAAATCAGACTTACCTCAAAGATAATTAGCGTATACAAAAAACACAACAAAATAGCCGCATACAAGATTCCTTGTTTCTCGTCCAACGGATCGAGCTGATAGCTTAGTGTAAGTGGTACTGTGCTATTGCTGGTGGTAGCCAAACGTAGAGTTACTCTAGTACCTGCAAAAACAAACACGGTCTCACTTTAAAAAATATATTTGAAGCTTTATCTAAACAGTGTTTAACAAAACGTAAGTCTAAACATGTGTTAAATACCTATTTATTGTAAGTTTAACTCTTTTGTGGTAAGACTGTGAGATGAGTTTCACCAGAGAGAGAGTTTGTACAAAAGTCGATTGCTTGGGTACCTCTGTCCCATTTGTGTTTCAACCGTAAAGCAGTTGTGTTTAGCTGTGTTTCGGTTTGAAGGGTGAATTTACAGGGTACAGAGGAATAACACCTGAGTCCTCAGGAATGGCAACGCATGGGGGGTATCATGGGCGAAACAGTATACTCTGTTATGTCCATGGTACTGCTCATGTCTATAGGCGACGGTTACCACTTTCCATCAGGTGGGCCGTCAGCTTGTTTGCCATTCTAAGTTGTATAAAAAAAGTCTAGAATTAAAATATCTATATAAATATCTTACAGAATAAGTCAAATAATGAATATCATTTATTCACATAATATCTATAATCTATAATATACATTGTATCTCACTGTGATAAATTGTGAAGAGAAAATACATATAAAACACATATAAACATATACAAATTCCATTCAATTAAAAATACAACGTCAAAATACTAACCATTCACTCATATATATATATATATATATATATATATATATATATATATATATATATATATATATATATATATATACAATATAAACACGAATTCCATTCAATTAAAAATACAACGTCAAAATACTAACCATTCACTCCAACCGCATCCCAATTTGAAATATTTTCATGAGCAAATTGCTGTGTGTGATTTCTCATTGAATTGATTATATTTTGTTGTGCTGGATGATGTTGATCATATATATATATATATATATATATATATATATATATATATATATATATATATATATATATTCTAATGTGAGCGTGTTCATTTCCGTCACACTTTCCGAAAAATCTAGAATATGCTCTGGTTGTAGATATATCCTCCACAACGTTGAGTTCTGAAAATATAAAATTACATAAGAGGGAGGCTTTCGTAAATAATTGAAATCAATAAAAATAATAATTAAAAAAGTAATAAAATTAATTTTATAATTGCTATTAAAATTTATTAATTAAATTATTTATAAATTATTTCAATTGTTTCCCGTGTGATCCTGGTATAGGGTGGGCCACCACTTTCTTTCCGGTGGGTGTTGTAACTAAGACGACTAAGAGAACTTAATAGTTGAGGAATGGGCAGCAGCGTCTCTCTTGAAACATCACCAAAAACCTAACTGCGGTTGACAATTCGCCTGTCAACCATGGCAACTACTGGCAAAACCCTCTTAAGGCCAATGCCTATGTTTAGTAGTAAACATCCCTTACTAGTGCTGCACCAACGCAGGCAGTATCATTCGATCATCCGTTAAAAAAATCGTCTGTGTGAACCCGCACGCCCTTAATCTATAATTTAGATTTTTATATTTATTTATTTATTTATTAGTACAAATATGTGTACATGGCGGACTTAATGCTAAAAGTATTCTCTCTTAGTCAACCATAGGGAAGTGTCAGAATACTCGAATGCGGTACTAGTAACTATTGATATAATATTAATTACATGATATACATACAAACTAAAATTATATATATATATATATATATATATATAAACGAATAAATATATATAAATAACAAATATACTTACACATATATGACATATACTATATTATACACGATATTGAGAATAATTCAAGTACTTACTGCTCGGATAAAGTAAAAAAGTGAGCGTGTACGTTTTTTTTGAAAGACTGTTTAGTTGGTAGTCTCTTAATGGCATCAGGAAGCGCGTTCCAGAGTCGTGAAGAATGTAGGAGAAAAGAATTATATGGGTGAAAATGGAATGGTAATTCCGCTTGTGTTATCGATATAAGCTAGAGGGCTACTCATATTAGTGAAGGACGATAGGTGAAGATGAAAGCAGGCCAGTTGGTGACGAAATCAAAGGGAAATAACCACGATGGTTTCCAGGAGGAACCGTGTGGAGGTTTGATTAGATATATTTCTAGCAGCTGGGCTTTTAGACCCTAGGGGATAAGGGATTGTTAGATTACTAACAATCCCTTTCCCTCCTCTATTTTGGGTTTACATTTAGATATTTAGTTTATTTTTTAATAAGTACACCTAGCATTAAGTATTACAAGCCATAACAATACTCTTTTATGGGCCATCATATATGTTCGCTTATAAACTCATAAATATTTATGACACACGGTACACGAACAAGCATCTGCTGTGTGCATATTGATTTTATGTATCACTGTGAACATGTGTCTTTAAGTGTGATAAGAATTATTTTCTACTAGCTTATTGCCCGCTGCTCCGTGCCCGTGGATTTTAGGAGTAGGGAAACCAATAGACTACTCCTAGATAACGTGACAAGGTAAAACAAACATCAGATGTTTTAGGAATCTAACTGTGGAACTGCATCCAATTCGGTGCAACTTATTTCGACGTGACCGCTGAATAAACATACAGACAGACGGAAAAAAATTATGTTTTGGATTGTATTGCTTTTAATAAACTTTATATCTTTTTTTAATATCTGCCATGTACAGATGTCACATAGAGACAATTTTGACATATTAAGTAAATATAGATTAGGTATTTTTTTATGTTACTTTGAATGGCAAACTAACCATGGACATAATAGAATCTGTTATGCGTTTTTTAGAATTGTGATATTTTTTAATGGAATGGTAATGCCATCTACGCATTTTGGTATACGCTGACAGGGAACCAGTGAAGGGAAGATTTGAAGAATGCAGGTCTATTAGCCCATTGGGATGAACTCATAAAAAATTAACTACTATAAGAGATGAGGCATCGCGTGGAGAAGTAAATATACCGGTCACGTGAACGAAGTCGCGGGTAAAATTTAATTAATAGTCAGAATGAGAGTTACCTGTTCTAATACTAAATCATTGGATGGGGCCTCGTGGACCCTGTACAGCCATAAATATAATATGTTAACACTGTCATCACCGGATCCTTGTTGGAAAGGTCCAGTGAGTGTTATTAGGGTCTTAACCCTATCGTTGCGTGCTTGTAGCTGGTACTCTGAAATTGATAAAATAATTTTAATTAAAAAAAAATCAATATCATTAAAAAAATATCATAATTCATGAATGCTAAAAACAAAATTTTAATGATTCCTCTCTATCCTAAAATTGCCTGGAAGAGATCTCTGTTTAGCGATAAGACCGCCCGTTGTTGCCTCTATAACTTGCTTTTATGTAATTAAAGAGGTTAATTACATACAAACAATGCACATTTTTTTAATCAATTTAGGTACAAAAAAGAAACATTTATTTTTTTGCAAATAATTATTATTTATGCTTATTTTAACTAATTTATGCAAAAAAATCGAGAATGGCAATAATCTACCGTCCAACGTGACAGATACGGACTTAAAATATTTGAAAAATTATATTTTTATATTAACCGTGACCCATACGGAGCTGTAATATTTTGAGACATATAAAATTACAGTGACCGTGACGTTCCCGGAGCTGTACAATTCTATCAGTAAACGTTGCCTGTATATGTCACGAAGGCGTGCATTTAGCGGTTAATTATTCATTTTCTTTATGTATGGTACATATTCATATTCATTTTGTTGGTTTGGTCATTTGGAGAGGATGAATGAAAGAAGAATTACGAAAGAGATTTATTGAGCAAGAATGAATGGAGATGTCGGTAGGGGCCGCCTTAGACGGACGTATGTCGACCAAATAGGCGACGTGCTGAAGAAGGGCCAAATTAAAAGTACCCGTAACCGGCGAGCGTGTATGAAAAGATTGATGAATGTGAAAGAAGCGAAAGAGGTTTGTTTGAATCGAAGCATTTGGCATTCCATTGCTCTGCCTACCCTAATGGGAGACAGGCGTGACAGATATGTATGTATGTATGTATGTTTGTGTACATATTGTTAATCTTTATAATCTGCATTATTTTTTTAAGGAAACAATAAATAGTTTTTATTCATGCATTTTAAATCAGTTACTTTGATCCGAAAAACTAAGCAACTGGATCGATTAGGATAAGATTAATATGGGATGAATTTGTAACCATATCTTTTCAGATATAAAAAAATATTATATGAGCCGTTAACTGTCCACTGCTGAACATAGGCCTCCACCGTAGAGGGCGTTTTGGCAGCAGTTGCCACACTTGGCAGGCTTTGGTGACATTTTACGAGGAAATCGTTCCTCTTAAAATGTCACCAAAGCCTGGAGTATCGACTCCCCACGTCTTGACCATTAATTTCCCTTAGTTGCCTCATACGTCATCATTCTATGCCGGGTCTACATGGCTTTCTTTAGATATAATTATTGTATGTAAAAGTAAAATACCTTTGACCTCCCCGCCTTTGACAGCTGTATGTAGTACCACATCAGATCTCTCCATGTTCATAATGAGCGATATAGTAAGTAGACCCCAGCACGTAACCAGCACCGACAACTTTAGCATCCGAGCAAAGCGGTGTAACTGAAAATAATACAATTTAAAATTTTAATATATATATTTATTTATCAAAATAGTGAGTAGCAAGAGCTCCACCGACGAGAGTACAGCTCTTAAATAGGATAGATAGATAGATTTATTTATTAAACTCTTTAAATAAACATTTATACAGTATAGGGGTTTCAGAAAGTCTTCTATGTCGAGGTTGCATTGACGCTTAAGAAACGGCTCCCCAACATAAAGAAATCCTTGGAATAGTAAAATCGCTCCTAGAGGCCTGTGAAGATTCCAGGAAGCTTCTGTGCTTCTGAGCGTAGCTTGGCTGGCTGTACTAGTCACCTCTTAAACGTGTGCGGAAAAAAGATTCTAATTTACATCACAATGGAAAGTACAGTTGGCTGTAATAACAATTTATTATGACAGTCTTTTTTTTATACAAAAAAAATGTCAGTCAATTAATGACCTTCTTGTGCCTACTGCTATTCGGTCTAGTTGAAGGAATGATAGAAAGTATAGGCAAAGGCACTAATTGCTTTTATGGTGAACATAACATTCGATTTTATTATAGGATTTTTATTTCTTTATTGACTACATCATCCTGAGCGAATACAGATACAACATGTTCAATGAATACAACCAGGCGAAATGTGAATGTTCTGCTCTCCCAACTGTGGAGAGTGCATTATGCAGACTCGCTAAGTTTTTTTTTCTTTTTTATGCAACTTACAATGACAAACAAGCTGACGACCCACCTGATGGAAAGTGGTAACTGTCACCTATAGACATGAACAGTACCGTGGACATAACAGAATATAATGTTGCACCCATGTTACTCCCCATGCGTTGCCATTCCTGAGTCTTATTCCGCTGTACCCTGTAAATTCACTGCCATATCCCACCCTTCAAATCGAAACACAGCTATGCAAACACAACTGCTTCTCGGTGGAAACACAAATGGGATAGAAATGTCCAAGCAAACAATTTTTGTACAAAGTCTCCCTCTGGTAAGTGCTTTTTTACGTCACATTTGAAGGATCTGAGGTTATAGGACGAAGAGCCACATTGTTACGGTTCAGTTCACGTAAGAGTTTGTAAACTTATTTGTACACGAGGATAGGCGATCTACCGTAAATGGATGTAGTTGTTAGCTCGTTCTCGTGGAGTTCGATGTCAGAAAGAAGAAAGTGGAATAAGGAATGAACAACTTGAAATGCCAAAACATACTAAACCACAAGATGAAAAGTAATGATCATTGATACACTGTAAATTAACATCTACCCACATTTAAAAATATATGCAACATATGTGACCATACCCGACCATTATACTATAGAAGGGAAGAAAAATATACCCTATCATGTCGATCTCCCCGTGATCCCTCTGGACACCATTGTGCTGAATTCTAGGTGTATTCATCACGATGGGCGAACTTTTCTTTCTCACTTATTATCCCTTGCTGGTGAATCGCCAGTGTATACCGTTTTTTTTTTGATGGGTAAAAATGGAATGGTAACACCGCCTGCGCTAACGAGATACGCTGGCGGAGCACCAGTGAAGTGTGATAGATGAGAATGAAAACAGGTCAGTTAGCCTATCATGATGAATTCATCATGATGTCTCCATCGCTAACAATCCCTTTCCCCCCAGCGTATACCGTTAGCCTAGGCGGAGTTACCATTCCATTATCATCCATAAAAAAAGAAAACAATTAAAACCATTGTACTGTAAGTCATGAAATCTTTTTGCGCCTTTTAAGCGACTTCCACAAGAAGAACGTTGACTATTAGTTTAATTTATATGTGACAATTTTGTAATTTTTCTTTGCGGAGGAAAAAATGCTTGTTACGAAATAAAATCCTTAGTGTTCTAAATCAAGTAGACCAGAGCACTAAGATTTGAGAAATGCAGTCGGCTAATACAATGACAAATTGACAGCACCTACCTGTGTTTTTCTTGGAGATTTTATTTCTTGTACTTCATCGATTTGTCCCGCTGTCATTAATCTGGAAAAGTTGTAATTTTAGTTACATTAAGATAATTTGACTATAAATATAATATATACACATATTGGGAGTAAAATTATGTACCTATCAATTGTCCTGGTATATACCATTTTACTTTGTTCTGCTCTAAAATGTAGGTAGACAGAGGGAGACTTTGTACAAAAGTCGATTGCACCTCTGTCCCATTCGTGTTTCAACCGTGAAGCAGTTGTGTTTGCATGGCTGTGTTTCGGTTTGAAGGGTGGGATATGGCGTGAATTTACTGGGTACAGAGGAATAACACCTGAGTCCTCAGGAATGGCAACGCATGGGGGGTATCATGGGCGAAACAGTATACCTGTTATGTCCATGGTACTGCTCGTGTCTATAGGCGATACCACTTTCCATCATAGTTCTATAAAAAAAAAAAAAAAAAAAAAAAAAAAAAAAAAAAAAAAAAAAAGGTAATCCGTGCATTGTCCTCAAACATAAGTTTGAGAGACATGGGTAATATGAATACCTATATATTAGTTTCCTCCGGACATTGATAACGGAAAAAAGGTCATCATCCATTTCGATATTGCCCATATCGGTCGAATATTTATTTGCGAATATGTTAAAAGTCTGTTATCCTATATTAATTTTTGAATATCAGACTTATAGCATATTCGTTATTGGACCACTATATACCAAGATATTGTAACTAAAGTATATAATTGCTAATTCTTCAAATATTAGGGGTGCCAAGTGCTAATATTAGAAAGAAAGCAAAACTATTTATACCATAAAAAGATACCTTATTCTTCTTTATAAGTGCGCATATGCATACCATGTTTGTAATAGTAAATTTTTTAATATTATGATGGTGTTACTTTTTTTTTTACTGTCTTGAACTATCCACTTTTTGTGTAATTATACTACTTATTTAATATATATAAAATATTGAGAGAAATCACTGCAATCCTTTGAACTAGTGGACTTCAGTCCAACAACACTCAACATTTTTTTCGACAAAAACACTGACTTCAATTGCTAACGAGAAACATAAGACCAAATCATGTAGTTTGCAAAAAATGCTATCAAAATCGGTAAAAATATTGAGTGACATACATATACAAAAAATATCTGTAAATTTTAGAATCCCTTAGTTGTATAAAAAATTGAAAATATTGAGATATTCCACTCTTTACTGATGTGATCTGTAACGATAGAGAACTTGACACTATGCATGCAATAGTCTCGAATCTAGTCGAGCTTTCTCGATCTAATTACATATAAGTAAAACCGGTAGTTATTACTTTAATATGTGGGCATTTAATTTCAATAATCATTGAAAAACATTACATTGACCGGAAATAATTGGGATAAGGGCATGAATATGCTGGATAAAATATTTTGCTTAAATTACAAAAAAAGATTCATAATTATTATGAGTTAATTTTTATTGCTTTTGCCAGCGATTATGTTCGCGTAGATTCTAAAAGTAGATGTCAAAACATTCACAAGATTTTAAGTACGTTCTTCGACAATACTAACAATTGTAAAAATGGCATTGTCTTTCGTGCAATACCTTTTGCGTGATACTGATACTGGAATGAATATACAGACAGACTGACGGATAGATAAAAAATAATAAAAGGAATATTGCTTTGGCTGCTATTGCTCTTATAGAAATTTTCATGTCAATTTTTTTTTTAATATTTGTGTTCTTATCTTTGCCACAGAGCAGTAGATTGCAGTGGTATCTCTGAAACTTTACAATACGAGTATAGCATACCCACTATCGCCATTTTCTTTGTTCAGGTCACTTGCCTCCTCAACATCTCCCACTTCTGTTTTCCTGTTAATACTGTTATCATCTTCGTCCGTGACTTCCAATGTATCCAATTTACCTGTAAAATTATTGACTGTTTTATTTTCTTTTGTATTAATTTTTTTATCAGCTATATATCTTAAGGAAACTAGACTTAAAGTGCAGCCTGGATGATCATTAAAATGTTTCTAGAAACAATATTAACAATTGACATTAGTGACTACGTGAGTTTATAGTTTCATCTAGGTAAAGTCCATATTTTGATCCTAAGAAACTCTCAAATCAATACAAACAGACATGAATACAGGTATTTGTTCTGTGCGAAGATTGAAACCACGACCATCGAAAGGTGAAGCGGCGTTTTGAATCATTATACTACAAAGGACGTCTTATATTTCTTTTCTTTTGTTTTGCTCTTTTAAGGGCAAAGCAATAAACTGAGTTGTGACCATTTTGTGTTACTATGGCACAGGCATGAAGGAAAAGAAGGAAAGGAAATTGTTAGTTTATATATTTTGTTTTGTGCTTCTTTATTTTCATTCTTTTATCTCTTTTACTGTGTATTATGTGTATGTTTTTTTATTGTAATTTGTGTACTGTAAGTAATGTAAATAAATTATCTATCTATCTATTTTCTTAATAAGAGGGAAACTTGGCATAAAAGACCTCTGTTCTGCTTGTTTCTGCTTTAAACCGACAGTGTTTGCAAGGATGGGTTTAAGCATAAGAATAAAGACTAGGATTGTTTATTCAACTACCTTGTAAATACATATATATGGTATATAAGATCGTGTTCCACAAAAATGCGGCTTAAATTTTTTTTATGCAACTTAGAATGATAAACAAGCTAACGGTCCACCTGATGGAAAGTGGTAACCGTCGCCTATAGACATGAGCAGTACCATGGACATAACAAAGTATACTGTTTTGCCAATGATACTCCCTATTCGTTGTCATACCTGAGGACTCAGGTGTTATTCCTCTGTACCCTGTAAATTCACTGTAATTGTGGCAAAACCAATCATTTTGGTTTAAAAACTAAACTACTCTTCCGATTTCTATGAGGCTTATCTGTAAGTATATCCTTGCAGATAAAAAAAAAAGAATTTTTCATATCGTTCGACAACTTACGAAGTTATGATTTAACAAATACAAAAAAATACAATCGATTTGAGGATCTCTTTATTTTTGAAATGGATTGAAAAAAATAAGGTTAGAATTTTTAGTACCACATAAACCTTTCGGGCTTGTGTATGGTCCTTTACATTTAATTTTCAAGTAATAAGTATTAAGTAATTTAAATTTATTTATATCATTACTGCACAATAAAAAAATTGTACAAACGACAAGCATAGACAGATACTCTATTGTTTTTCTAAAACATTACATTAGTAAACTTATTATAAATACAAACAATTATAGGGAAAGATTGCACCGAGAAAACAATGGGTGGCCGTATCGTTAAGAATTCCAGACAATCTTTGGATGGAGAAACGTAATGATTTATTTTTATAGTTTGGGTTCGAAGAGTGGGATATAAAAAAAATAAGTGTCATGCAATAGCACCAGTTGCTTGGTCTACAATCTAGGATACCCAATGTTATGAGGAACATCTAGGGGCCTCAACTAGAACACCCATAAAATGCAGTGAAATACAAGGTGCAAAGGCATAACAGCGTAGTTCTCAGAAACGGCAATCCATGATATCAAATTGTGTTCAGTTATGTCCATGGTGCTGCTATTGTCTGTAGGTAACGAATTTCACTTTCTATCCGCTGGACTATCAGCTTCTTTGCCATTCTGTTTCATAATATACAAATGATTTTTTTGTTATTAAAGATGGACGGCCTACATATAAAATTGGATACGACATACTAGATGGCGCTAGAATCGAGCTAGTAGTTTTTGTTGATTATTTCGTAATTAAAGATAATTGGAAGATAAATTTCTAGATCGGCGAGCGGTTTTATTTATTTTTTTACCGATATAGTAATAATTTATTATAATTTTTCTCTTTATTCTCTTGTATTGTGCAACTTTGTAAAAAAACGTACTAGAAAGTAACATTGCGATTGTGTGGGTTATAATTAAATCAGAACTGCGTATTGTCTGTCACTTTACATTCATATATAATAATAAAAATCGCTTGTCAATTTAGAAATTTTGCTTACTAAAATACGTTTAGTATGATTATATATTTTATCGTCTAGTATATATAATACTAAGTCTGTTTAAGACTAGTTGTTCTTTATACCAATATATATATATATATATATATATATATATATATATATATATATATATATATATATATATATATACTAAAACATACAGTAACAACAAAAAGGTAATAAAAAAATGTCTTCAGTCAACCTAACACATGATGACGACAGAAATTTAAATAAATATTTACATAAATATACAGTGGTATAAAAAAAATGTCTCACCATGATGTCGCTCGTAGAGGTCTTTGAAGGGCGCGAACAATGGGTCATACTTGATTTCATCAGGCAGATCCACCCACACCTCCAAACTGCCAGGAGTCAGGTCTCTGCTGGACACCATAGAGTATACACTATTCCTGTCATTTTTCTTCTTCCCCAGTACGCGTATACGATTGCGTAGTCTCTCCATTTTAATTAAGTGTCATAACTTGTTCATTTTTATTGAATTTCTAACGGGTTTGCTTTATTTTACGGGTATGCTTATTTTTTTTATTAATGTAGTCTAATTTACAGTTTAAATTTAGTAAGTGAAGCCAACGCCATCTATATTTTTATGTGAGATCTAGATTGAAAAAGATGCAATTTAAAATTTTATATAACGATAAAACTATTGTAAGCGGTTATTCAAGACAAAGGCACTGTGTGAGTTTTTTTTTATATCGATCTAGAGAAGAAAATAGAAAGATTGCTCTCAGCAATAAGACCGCCTTACTGTACTTATACAATTGTATCGTTGTGTTTGTAAATTGCCTTGCTTATTTCCTATATTGTATAATGCAAATAAAGTATACTCATTCATTCATTCATTCAAAATAGTCAATATAGACAATACAGTAATGGTATTAGTAGTTTTCTTCAAATAAATTCTAAACGATATATATATATATATATATTTTAAAACTAGAGGCTCCCCGGCTTCGCATGGGTAAATAGGTAGAATTAACGGTCGAGGGATGGGCGGCAGCGTCCCTCTTAAAACATCACCAAAAGTCCAACTGCGGATGCCAACTCGCCTGTCAAGCGGGTTAAATAATTTTTTATTGTAATAATTTATATTTGTTTGGCTGTTTATTTGTTTTCACCGTGCTGTGTAAGCATATTTTTGAAGAGTTAGTTTGTATAAAATATTATTGTACTGTATAAATTAATATAAAACTGTTAATTCTCTGTGTATGTGTGTATAATGTGTACCTATTACAATAAAATAAAAATATATATATATATAACCATTTACAGAAAACAATAGTAATTTCATAATATACATACCACGATGGCAACAATAAAATTGAACAACTTCACGTGTTACCATAGTGAATTGTAATAAGGAAAAAGGCTATGAGTAAACATACATACATAGGTTGATAAATAATTCATTATATTGCGCGTTGATAGTAACCAAGCACATCTAGTAGTATTTTGAACCGACATAAAAAAAATTATGAGGCACATAATTGGCTGAATTTTTTATGTACACCATGTGATCTTTTTCAATTTTCAACTGATTCTTGTGATTCTTTTTAACATATAATCTTTTTAATGAAACCGTAAATGAGTGCAAGTGTGCTTATATAGGTGTTGCATTCTGTTGATTATGTAACACTAGTTTACAGCCGCGACTTCGTTTTCGTGATCGGATTATGTTTAATGAATATGTTTACCCGTTTTCTAAAAGGCTTTGTTGTCGTATAGAAAAGTATCAATTTCCTGTAACTATAACTAACTAGGTTACGGTAACATCGTTTACAATAAGACGGGCCGTATGTTTGTTTGCCATCAAATACTACTACTACTTTTTACACTAAATAAAAAAAAAAAAACTATAGGACCATCAATTAGAACATGACTGCTGGTAACCCTTAATAGCGACTTTTTTATATAGGCAACCCTACGTTACAGTATATATAAATGAATAAACTTCCGTTTGGTGTAAATCATATCAAAAAGCATGATGAGTTAACAAAATTAACAAAATTTTCATTTATTTTCAACTTTTCTTTTTACGTCACGAAAAATGCATAATTCAGACCTTAGATTATAAAGTATATAGATAGATAGCTACTCTTTAATGTTTCCTCCAAAAGATTACAATAGTAAACTTATTATAAATATAAACAAGTATAATATATAGTACGTTATATCAAGTTTATAAAGCAAACCCCACATGTCGGGGGGAAAGGGATTGTTAGTAATGGAGACTGAGAATCTCATTGCTAGTAATATACCCAACCAGGTTGACCTCCTCGCGGTACCCCCTGGAAACTATCATGGTTAATTCCTGATGAATTCACCATGATGAGCTAACTGGCCTGTTTTCATTCTCATCTATCACCCTTCACTGGTGCTCCGCCAGCGTATCCCGTTAGCGCAGGCGGGATTACCATACCATTTTCACCCATAAAAAAAAACCCAAATGTCTTAAGGAATCGTGTAGGTACTGTCGGACTCCTACCAGCTAAACAACCTGACTATATCCGAAACATCTCAGAACGAAAGTGTTGTAAGGACCGTCTGTATTTCACCTCGACATTGACATGAGCATTTTACAACTATGCGCCATTTTGTGGAAGTCCATATCATTGACGCAAATAATATAATACTTCATATCTGCCTTTAACTGCCCACTGCTAAACATAAGCCTCCCCTTGAGGGGTTTTGCTAACAGTTGCCACGATTGGCAACCACGGTTTTTTTTAATGGGTGGTAATGAAATAACCCCGCACGCGCTAACGGTATACGCTGACGGGGAACCAATGAGGAATGACAGATAGGTGATAATGATAAGGCAGGTCACTTAGCCCATCGTGATGAATAGACATAGAATTTAACACGATGGTTTCCAGGGGGGACCACGTGGAGGTCAAACTGACAAGGTGTATTGCTAGCGATGGGACTGATAGTCTGCATTACTAACAATCCCTTCCCCCCTTGGCAATCGCGGTTAGGCTTTAGAGACATTTTAAGAGGGATGCTTGTGCTCATCCCTCGCTATCCCATAGTTCACCTCTTAGGACATCCACGGGAAAGGAAGGGTGGCCTATTTTATGTTGATACCACACGGCCAGCAAATATAATACTTAGTCGATTAAAATTATTTTGTTTAATTCCGCTACCATTAGTATGCATGACAGACAATATTTGAGGTCTGATTACTATCTTTATTAGTAGAAGTTCTACGACCTTCCATATAAGTTATCAATCTTCGACCGTCATTCAGTCCACGCATATGTTGCGACACGTGTTTCACCTTTAAACGAGACATCTTCAGGCAAATTAATAAATCGATACTCGGAGCCTAGTGTTAACCATTCGGCGCCCAAACTGCAAATGACTCATTGTCATCGACATGAGTCATTCGCAGTTTGACCAGTCAAGGGAATTCTCTATCTAGGTGCACAGGAAATATGCTTTGCGACTAACAGGGAGCAGGCAACTAATGCATTGTATAATATTTTCTCTATCTTTCATTTAAACAAAGTTTAATCAAAGAGATACGTGCGGAATTTATCGATGAGATCTTAGGCTATACCTCTGTGTTTACCTCTATTATTAGTCACAACGGCTCAATCGGTCATACAATTTATTATAAGTACATACAGAACTTGGGATGGAGAATTATCTTATGTCCAATAGGTTAATTTTTATTCCGTCAATCAATATATTACATCGGGTACGCGGACGAAGTCACGGGTGTTGGACTAGTTAAAATATAATCGAGTCCTATATTTGACTGTGCCCTTGACATTTGCTTTGACATCGATCAAGGAAAATCAATGAAATTTAAACTATTAAACCTCTCTTCAGTTTTAAAAAAATTTTTAGATTTCGCTTTGCTTCAAGGAATATTACAAAATTAGTTAATATGTGAATTCTACCGAATTTATCATGGAGTGTTCAGAATTGTTCGTTAGTCTCATTTTATAATTTAACCGTGCGTTTTTAACTTTCTTCCACGCACAACCATTCTTTGGAATCAACTTCCAGAACAGTTTCCGAACCAATACGACAACATAACCTTCAAGAGTATATTCTATACCTGCAATGCCGCTGGTGTTGTGGGATTTCCTACCATTGAGCCGCATGCTCGTCTGTAAAAAAAAAAAATGTGTCTCATTTTATAATTTAATTAATATGAACAGTTTTCCCTAAATAAGTCTGCCATTGTATATTAAATATTTTTAATGTGTCCAATGTAAATTATGTATAATAAAGATTCTACAACGCAATACAATGATTATACCATCAACAAATACCAAACAAATCCTTAGTATTTATATTAAAAAAGTGTGTTACATCTTAATACCTTAACAAAATTAATCACTATGAAAGCGTGAGATATAGTGAGATCAAAGGGAAGTGTGGACTAAATGACGATATGGTGATAAAGATCGAAGAGGGAATGTTGCATTGGTTAAACCATTTTGAGAGGATGGACGAAAGAAGAATTACGATAGAGATTTATTTTATTTATTTATTCTGAATTAGGCACACCAACAGTATACATATTATACATAAATTAAAAAAACATTTCTTATGTAGTATGCTGATATGCATACCTATGAATGCAGATGTGTATATAAATGTCATAATATAATTAATTTATTGAGCATGAATGCAGATGTCGGTAGAGGCCGCCCTATTATGGACGTATAAGTATATCGACTAAATAAGCGACGTGCTGAAAAAGGGCCAAATTAAAAGTACCCGTAACTGGCGAGGGTGTATGAATACATTGATGCATGTGGAAGAAGCGAAAGAGGTCTTGTTTGAATCGGATTGTTTCTGCTTATCCCAATGGGAGATAGGCGTGACGGATATGTATGTATGAAATTTGGTATTCACATACTATATGAATAAAGGATAAAGAAAGATATAGGTAACATTTTATTTCGATCAGTGAACATATCCCAATCATGCAGACGAAGTCACGGGTAAAACCTAGTTCATAAGTATCCTATGGTCCAGGCATAGAATAAGCCTTGCCGTCGGAGATGTGGTGAATGCGAAAGCGAACCCATGTCTCCAACATATCGTCTGGTTTTTGGTGGGCACACCCCCACCTTACGGGGGGATTCCTACAGTACCCATTCACTTCCCACAAGGTGTATGGGTCACAAGTATGGGTCTGCATAAAGCATTTTCCAGACGTTAAAAAAATGCATAGAATAAGCCACCCCTTCCTTTCCTGTGGGTGTCGTAAGGGGCGACTAAGGGAGGGCGAGGGATGGACAGCAGCATACCTCTTAAAACATTACTAAAAGACTTGGCAGGCGGATTAGCAACTGCGGTTGCTAATCCGCCTGCCAAGCGTGGAAACTACTGATAAAACTTGACAAGACTTATGGGAAAGATTAATTGTTATAAATTAATGTTACTTTTAAATATTTTTATTATTATTACTACACAGAAAAACTGGATATTTTCTCAAATTTAAAATAGAATATAAGAAATTTTTAATAGGTATGACATAATTAAATAAAATTAAACTCGTAATTTCTTAAATTATGAATAAATTATCTATATATGTTATATCAATATTTGGACAAGTGGTTCTAAAAGTTAATA